TGTCTACAACTGGGTTTTTGAATCTGCAATTCACTTTACAATCTTGGAAATAACACTCACCCAAACCAAAAAAAAAATTTTTTAATTTTTTTAATTTTTTTAATTTTCTTTTTTTTTTTTTTTTTTTTTTTTTTTTTTTTCAAATTCAAAAATATTATACATATCACATAATACATCCTGCATTCTTTCGTAACATAATCATCTCAGAGATTCATGATTATAGCATTGTCCTCGTCCCTTATCTTCATCTTCACCTTCGTTTTTATTTCCACGTGTAGATGTAGTCGTAGTAGTAGCGGTATTATGTACGTAAGAAAGAACCCGCTATAGCGCCTCTCCGACTATATTCCCGATAGCCCCGCCAATCTCGCCGAAGAGAACGCCCTGGAAGATGGACTCGCCCATTTCTTCGAACCAATGTCCCGTCTTCTTCAGGCGTTCCTTCCAGAGGTGTTGTTCTTCGGGGTTTAGGTTTTCCCACGACTTGGCGGGGCCGTGGACCTCTTCGTCGTGGATACCGACGTGCAGAGGGGGCAGCCCATGAGGGTCCGCTTCCCCGGATTCGTCGTGTCGAATCACGAGCGGCTGAGTATGATGTGCGTTAGCGTCCGATAGTAGATCCTTGATCGACTTTTCGTTGGTCGCGGCGACTTTGCGGAACGGCTGCGTCCACGACGCGGGAAGATACGGCCTGATCCCAAGGACGGGATTGCCGATATCTTTGGCCTCAAGAAAGACTTGCCCAATTAGGGCGAGGAGAAGCACTACAACTGTTAAAAGTGTGATAGGCGTGACCGAAGATTCGCCCTTAGATTTCAGCGCAACTACGTAGCGCGACGGGCTCGGAGGCCCTCCTTTTCTTTTCGCGACAGACTTATCAACATACTTCTTAAGGGGTATGCTGTGTACTACTGTCGTGAACCCGACGCCGACGCTAGCCAGCTTAACGGTAAGTTCGGTGTTGCCCTTTGACGCCGATTTTGGCGGCGAAAACGGGGAAAAGGATAGTCCAGTAATATTGGAAGGATGGACACCTTTGAGCACTTGAAATGGCGCGAGGTCTGCGAGGAGCTCTACCCTAGCTGAGGATTTATGTTCTAATGTGAAGAGCGATATCGAAGCATCGTTCCCCGCAACCGCAACTACGAATTGGGTCTCGCCTGTCTTATCCGTCGGAGACGAAGTTGGCGACAGGTTCCTCACTGCAAGACCTGTAGCCTTGGAGACGCCCTTCGGAAGTTTAGCCTTGATCGCTACCCGAGCCTTGTCTTGCTCTTTGGCGGGTAGGCGATAGCCATGCAGCGCAACTCCCTGGGAGTTAGGTTTGTTGACCACAGTGATCAAAAAGCCAGGTGTCAGGTAGCGCAGCGATTTGAAGGAATCCTTAGCTGTAGCACCTTCATCTGGGGTAATGGTATATACGCATTTTGGCTCCGATATTTCCTCCTTGGATACTTCGACGGTGAATATTTGGTGATCGTCGCAGTACGCCAATTGATATGTATCGGGCCCCGTCTGAACGACGTCTAGGTCCATAGCTTCTTTCGGGATATCCAGCCTACCCCTCGATTTCCACCTCCCGCCTCCTTCGCATGGTACATCGAAAAGCGCGATCTCAGGTTGCTTGGATAGTCCCGTAGCGGCGGCGCCTAATTGTGGGAGTTTTTCGTAGGGGTGGGACAATCGGAGGAGTCTTTGGTAGGCACTTGTATCCTTATGCACAAACAGCACATGGCGCGCGATTTCGGAAATGGAAACCCTTACACCGCTAGTCTTGGCTGATTTAGCGGGCTGGTCGATACTGAAAATACGAAAATGGTCATTCCTCCCCTTCTTTATATCTTCCGGGCTCGAATTGACACCGGCAAATACGGTCAGGGATCTATCTCTTCGAGGACCGACGGCGAGTGTTGTGACATTGTCTTCGGTTTTGCTGAGTTCGAGCTCGGTGACTTCCGACAATTCTTCCGGGTTGGATGTATCGAGAACAGTCTAATAATGTGTGTAGGTATCCCCCCTGGTTAGCTTACTGACCTGACTCGTTAAAATACGTACAAAATGTTACATTGGGTTTGGCATGGCTGGTGTGCGATTCCTTACTATTTTATTCCCCACACCATTTCGTCCAGGTCCGCCGCCTCCTGCGACGACGAGCTGGTTAGGATCTGTCGGGTCGAAATCGCATGAATAGAGAGGATAGGTGAGGGTGATCTTCGCGGTAGGGATAATGCGTTTCGCCATTGTCGTGAACGGAAATTTGATTGACTTGGTTGGTTAGAAGTGAATAGGACTTCTTGGTTATCTTGGTTAACTAGACGACATATTTTTATTTTAAGTCGACATTATGAATGAAAAGAGAGAAAAAAAAAAACAGTTTTATATTTCTATTTAGGTATATCCTTGGGTTTGTTGGGTAAGTAATGAAGGAAGGCATTTAGGTTAGGTAGTTTATTGTCGTAGGCTTTGGTGACGAAACGATGTCTGATGTACCTTAGTGGTCTTATTAGTCCAAGAAGGTCAAGGCCACAATTGCAACTTCTTGCTGGGCTGCTGGGGCGTTCGGGAAGCTACCTCTTTAGGTAAGTAGCTCTGGGTAGAGCTACCTTCTAACGGTTAACCTGCTAGCTTTCAGCTGCTATTCAACTACGGAATAATCCAACATATTCTTATAGGAGGTACCTAACCTTTATTATTATCACTTATAACAACCTAACCTAGGTAAGTAGGTAACTTCTATTAAATGCACCTTTTTCTTTTATTTCTTTTATTTGTAAGGATAAAGAGAGACTGGAAGTCAATATTTCGCATGTTTGCATTTTTTATTGCCTAGTGCTTGTTTGTCAACTCGGGCCCTCAGCTAAATGTTACCCTAAGCCGAGCGGAACCAAGAGGCCAAACTTCAGTAGACCCCTTCCGCCTGGATGCCTTCTCTTCCGCGTCCTGGGGCAATCTCTCAATATAATCACCAGCTACTGATAGCTTAAGTCTACTAGAAACTGCGCAAGAGATTGCAAAGAGGCGAGGTGATGGGTGGTCGATAATGCGAGTAATATCAGTCAAATGGAGTGTGCGGGTCACAGGCAAAGCCGGGCCAGTGAACGCAGGAGAATATGAGCAACTTCCAGGAAGACCCTCCCGCTGTTATCGCGGGCATCGTCACTATGTTTCTAGAAGCGTGTCTGGGCCTCGACCTGGTTAAATTCTTGGGACACTACGCAGTGACGACAGTCGCGGACGACACATGCTTTTCAAAGAGCCGATACCCAATCTCACGTCCTGGTGTACGTTTGTATATCCCCTTTTGCTTGTGAAATCGCAGACTGATACACAGGGGACGGCTGAGAGGTTTTCCTAGCGGATGCCTTTACTAAAAAATACTAGCAACCATAAGCACTGGCGACTACTATGAAGTTGTCTTTAGAGGGCAAAAAGAAGCTAGCAAATAATTTGCGAAGTGAAAGACTTTAGACTTTCGGCTGATGCTCCTATGGCCCACGGCGCAATAGCCCTACGTGCCTTATTCTAAGGTTTTGGTCCAAACCAAAATAATCCGATCTTCTCCAGCCCCCTTTACTACGCTACCTGATTTGTCCAAAATAATGAGAGCCTCTTAATTGAAGACATCGTCGCCAAGAAAAAGCACGCAAGTTAATGTATAGCATTTGCTCAATCTCTTCTAACAATTAGACATTCTGGTCATCTTCGTAATAAAACATATGGCCCGCAAACCCGAAATAAAAAACCCCCGATGCAGCAAGGGGCTATACAAATAGACACAAGTACGAACTAGCACACTTCTCCCCCCTTCCTCCCTTTTCTACCATCTCACGCCTCGCTCAGCGCAAAATCGTACTCCACCGTCCAGCGGGCCCTGTCGTCCCCCTCGCGCGGCTCAAACTTGACCAGCAGCTCGTCCTTGACGGCGAAGACGGTGTCGTCGCGGACGTGCTCGTCGTCGCGGTCGAACACCTGCGTGGTCAGCGCGCGGAACCCGGGCGCCGTCACCACGAAGTGCATGTGCGCGGGCCGGTACGGGTGGCGGTCCAGCAGCTCGAGCAGGCGCCCGCCCGGCCCGTCCCGCGGCACCTGGTACGCCGACGGCCGCACGCAGTACACCGCGTACCGGCCCGTCGCCTCGTCCGCCCGCACGCGCCCCCGCAGGTTCATCTCCGGCTGCCCCGCGTCCTGCTGCTCGTACAGCCCCCGCGCGTCCGCCATCCACACGTCTACCACCGCGCCCGCCGCCGGCTCCCCCGTCGACGCGCTCACCACCCGCCCCGACAGGTGCGTCAGCCACGGCGCCGCTTGCACCGACCACGGCGAGTCTGGCGCCGCGTACACGATGCTGCTGCCGCTCGGGAGGAGCGGCGCGTTGGCCCGGTAGAAGGGCCCGAGGACGGTCGACGGCGTGGCTGTCCCGGACGAGCCGCTATCGGAGAGCAGTTTGGATGAGATCTCGTCGGCGAGCGATTCGAGGCCGAGGATATCGCATAGCATGCCCGTCTCGTTGCGCTTGTCCGTAGACATGCGACCCGCCTCGTTTATCTATAGCCACGAGTCAGAGTTTTTTCTCCTTGTTCTCTTTTTCTTATTTTCTTCCCCCCCCGCCCCCCCCCCTTTTTATGATGGCTTATTCAAACACGGGAGGGGGGGCTAGCTGGCACCAGGTCGACTTACTAGTTCGATCCCTGCGAACAACTCCGCGACTGTCAGGTCTACGTCACGGGCGAAGTCGTGTAGGTGCCGCAGCAAGCTTGGCATGATCTCCTTTAGACGGGGAAGGGCCTTCGGGCCCGTGGCGGCGATGACCTTGTCCGTGAACTCCGGGTCGTATTTAGTTTTCGCGGCTCTGTCAGCTCCGCCATCTTCTTTCCCACTAAGCGCCATGTTGTAGCGATCCGGTAGCTTTATATTGGGTACTGATACAATAGCTCCCAACGTTCGTTGATTGGGGAAACTATTTTCTGGCGTGGTAAGCTCTTCAGAGAGTTACTAAATAGGTAAGTAGAGGATTACGGTATGGAGATAGAGCTGGTCTAAGAAGGGGGAAATATCCAGGGGCTGGGCAGACTTGGGGCCGTTTTAAGTATGCGTTATTCCCGTTTGTGGAAGGGGGGGTTTTCTTACGTACGAATTATATCTCCTTCTACATTCTCGGAAAAGCAGGAGCACGAAGTGCAACTATACGCGTAAGTTGAGGACATCATAGCAAAGCTACACAGGCCTGGCATAGACTCACCATCCTCAAGAGGGTGAAACCGGCGACCGGCACCTCACAGTGTAACGAAGCTGATTCTACCGACTTTCACTAGGTAATTTAGGTAGGTACCTGGTATGCCTCCTTTTTTATTTTTCTTTTCTTTTTCGGTCCACATTCGTGGAGATGAAATGGCAAGTAGCCGTCAAATTAGGGCCTCGCGGGATATGTCAGGGAATGGAATAACCGTCTCCGCGGTTGAACACATATCCATGAAAAATGGATAGACGCAGCCGGTTTGAGGCCCGAGGACCCAGCAGTCTGGATATCGGGAAGCTGGCAAATTGAACAAAAGCAACCCCCGTAAGATAACCAGGAGTCCTACACACGAAACCCACCACGGTGTGTAGCTAAGCTGGTCTTGTTCGGCGTTTCCGTCCTGCTAGACTTGCTCTGCTTACATTTGTCACCATCATCGAGACGATCGAATACCTGTTATATACTATGTATTGTGGACCGTGGCTTGCCTAGCCGGGATCGTCTTCCCGTGAATCAGGAACCACTTCTTTTGCCGTAGTGGCTTCGACTCTTTGCTTTATGCTGCTACCGTCCTGCCATCCTACGGTAGACGGCTTCAGCGGAACGGGCCGTAGTCGCGAGAAACGTACTGGTAATTTCCCAGGAGGAGCCCTCCTCGGCTTCCCGGTGCTACCGTCGGTGAGTTTTTAAGATAATTTTTTTTTTGCTTCTTATATGTGCACGATCTTCCCGTATAAGCAAACGCGTGCTAATCTCCGGACCGCATAGTCTATCTCCTTGCGATTGCTCTATTCTGAGCTGATGATGGCCTGACACAACTAATCAGTAAGGTCGTTCTAACCTTTAAGTAGAATTACCTACGACCTATTGCTAATGTTATATTCGTAGGACGTAGGTTGTCTTAAGTCATTGCTTGCGTAAACTTTCCTCCAAGATTCATTCTGTAACTAACGCCAAATCCATTGTAAATACATACGAACGAACAAAAAACTGTCGCACAACACCGAAAAGGACACATGAAGAACCTGACCCGTCTTGGGTAATTCAATTGCAAAGAATCTTTCTTATACTTCTTGATGCCTCGCGGGCCTACCTAACCTAACAGACAAAACAAACACGCCCCTCCAGCTAAACCTAACTAATGCTACCCATTTATTACTTTATACCCACACCCACACTCTCACTCTTTCTTGTTCTTCTTGTTCTCCTTTTCTACCCGTGCCCCCTGGGGAATCATCTATCAACTCCTTCCTTCCTTCCTTCTTTCCTGTCCTCCCTAGCTAATGTATACAAAATAAATAATCTGCCTGACCTAAATAGAAAACGTGACATAAACAAACACAACACACCTCACTCTTGACCGAGAGAGAGAGAGAGAGAGCAAATAAAACACCTAAAACGTAAAGATACGGTGCTTCGCCACACACCCATCTCCCTTCTTCTTCTTCTTCCCCCCATTATCTAGGGGATTCTTTTCCTTTTTATTCCGTCTTCAAATCCTTCTCTTCTCTTCTGTCTTTTTCTTCCTGCTCCTGCTCCTCCTCCTCCCCATCAACAACAGCCATCTGATCAACATCCACCGTCCCCTCCGTAGTCCCATCCTCTTCTTCATCATCCTCCTCCTCCTCATCCTCATCCGTAGTCCCACTCCCCCCCTTCAACAACCCTCTCAGATCCTCCTCGTCGATAATACTCTCGATGCTGCCCCTCCTCACGCCGCCCGCGAGCAGCGTCTCCCTACGGCCCCGCTCGATCTGCCTCTCCACCTTCAGCCTGTTGGCGATGAACTTGAGCTTGGGGAACGCGCTCTGCTGCCCCTCGTGCAGCATGCGCGCGAGCCGGTCCGGGTCCGGGTCCGACAGGATGTTGACGAAGTCGCTCACGCTCGTGCGCGGCCACAGCGTGATGGTCCCGCTGAACTGCTGCAGCCAGACCTGCGACCAGTCCTGGCCCAGCGGCCGCGGGAGCAGCTCCAGGTGCTTGAGGACCTTGAGCCACTTGGCGAGGTCCAGCTTGACGTACTGCTCCGTGGCCGAGCCGAGGTACCCGCCGCGCCAGCCGCGGCCCTTGCGGTGGGTGACGGGGGACCCGACGGTGCCCCGGGACGAGAAGAAGAACAGCGAGATGTGCGGGTTGACCTGGCTGACGATGGTGAAGTTGACGTTGAAGTGCAGGTTGAGCGCCTTGATGGGGATATCCGTCCGCAGGCTGCCGTCCTTCCACTTGTGCCCGAAGGAGTAAGGGGACAGGGACCCGTCCGGGTTCTTGGTCATGAGGACCACGGGGTTCTGGATCCCGGGCACCGCGGCGGACGCCAGGACGGCCGACCAGATGACGCAGTCCGGCGACGTGAGGTAGTTGCATAGGATCGTGGGCGAGTGCGGGTCGGCCGGGATGCAGCTAACATTGAGGATGCGCCCCGTGCGCTGGTACGCCTCCCTGAACGTGGTCGAGCCGCGGGTCCACCAGCTCGCCTGGCGCGCCCACTCGACGGAGTCAAACCTCGCGCCCGTCTTCCACCATCGTGGGATCCAGGTGCTCATCGGCTCGGAGCAGGCTGTAATCTTATGCGCCAGCGCGGGGACTAACAGCTGTTTTAACTCGTCGTTAGTCCGCGTCGCCACGAGTGATGCCACCAATGCGCCGCCGCTAGTGCCCGTGATGACCTCCGGTAGTAGGTCTGCGTCGAGCAGCGCTTTGACAACACCGAAATGGTAATATGCGAACGACGCGCCGCCAGACAGACATAGCGCGGTGCGTCCATAGTTGGCGTGCATGCGCTTGAATATTCCTTTCTTTTCTTCAATCGATAGCTGCTTGGTCTGAACTAGGAAGCGTGTGCTTTTCTCCACTACATACCTGTCATGTTAGCTTTACTGTACCATATATATACACACCTTATATATTATGCATATACGAAGTATACGAGCTTCAAAATAAAATAAAGGTGTGACAAACCTTCGTCCACGAAATTCTGAACCAAGTTCTTAGTACCGTAATACGTCTGGCTGTAAAGTCTCGGGTTCTCGACCCCGACAAAGTTATTCTTGACGCAAGCTTCCGTCAGAGCCTTCAGCTCCTGGATGGTTTTTCGCTGTTCGGCCCTCGTTGCCGCGTCCCCCTTCTCGTAGCCGGGCGCGCGCGCGAGCTGGGCCTCCTGAGCCTCTGCGGCCTTCCTATGCTTGCGCAGCTGCTCCCAGACGCGGCGGACGGTCTTGGAATCGTAGTACGCGAACTCGTTCTCCTCCTTCCACCGCTCGTTTCCCAGGAACGCGTCCAGCTCCTTGGCCGCCTGGACCCACTCCCGGTAGCTGGCGGCCGCCCGCATGTTCCGCCGCAGCTTCTCACGGGTGCCCCGCCAGGCGACGAAGTACTCGTACACGAAGATGTAGAACCGCGTCCACAGGTACGAGGCGGCCAAGCCTACGATCCACATCCCGACGAAGAAGAGGAACGGCCACTTCAGCAGCCCGTACAGGTAGCCCTCGCGGGTCTCGTCCACCGTGCGGCGGCCCATCGTCGTCTTCTTCCTCTTCTTCTTGCCGCGGCCGTGCTTGGGCACCTTTTCGTTCACGGGTGCCCAGTCATTCTGCGCCGTGATGAACATGCCACCGCCGCCGCCGCCCTGAGAGCCATTCTGGGTGGCCGCGAAACCGTCGGAAAAGGGGATCGGGGAATCGACAGAAGCGACGGAGCCGGACCGCGTTATCTCTAGACTGTTCGTGCTTCTCGCGGCGGGGCTTCTCGGCGAGGACGCATCGTCGGTCGCGCTATTCGAGGGTTCGGGTGCGTTCAAGGCGGAAGCGAAAGCGGCGAGGTGTTCGGGGGGGAGAAACTCGCGGTCGACGTCGGGTAGTCTCGTGTGATCGAAGGCTTCGGGTGGGAAGCCATAATTATGGTTGCGCCTACCGGTAAGGAAGGTGACCTTAGGTTTTAAAGATTCAGATTTATATGCCATGCTCGCCGTTTTGACGTGCAATGCCAATGGACATGATGATGGTAGTGGTGACGACTATATTATGTATGTAGGTAGATATATGTAGGTAGGTACGTATGTAAAGGTAGGTACGTATAAATCGGCGATCCTGGTCCACTGGTGGTACTGGCAGGATTAAGGAGAAGAAAAGAAGAGTTCTACCTCGGTTTAACTAGAAAATAAACGGAAACTCTTGGTCTAGCCACCAACTTAATCTAATAGCAAATGCGAAATGTAGCGCAGGACAGAGATAGATAGCACGGTAATATCACCCCGTTACACTTGTGGCGCATCAAAAAAAGGAAGAAGACGGGAAAGAAGTCGATTTTCCTCCAGTTGCAATGTCGAGAAGTGGAATGACATGTAGTGTATAGCTTGAGCTAAAATGACGTCGAATCCCGTCCCGCGGTCGCGTTGTACCATGCATACTAACTAGTAAGGTTAGGTACCTAGTAGCGTATCATTCTATTGGTCCAAGCACTTGTTCCCTTTTTAAAGTTTCTAGGTATGCATCTGGTCTTCAAGCTGGGCATTGGGGCATGAGATGAGGTAAGCTACTATGTAGTACATGATACTTCAAAAACTTGTTGAGAGTCGGGACTTTAGAGGTCACATTCTAACCTATCATTCTAGAAGAATCCCGATGGACCGCGGTTCCTGGGCCACGCCGAGGTCCTGGGTGTGTATCCTACCTATTGTAAACTCTACATTTTGTAGATAAACAATAGCAAAGAGTTTCCGATGCTATGCATGTCGTGGAACGTCGTTTATTGGAATTGGAAATGAAAAGAATTTCTAAGAGAGCTGGTGGTAACTTGTCAGTAAGTTGGTAAGGTAGGTACCTAGCTACCTAAACCTACAATAGCCATAGTGGACTGTGGCATAGCCCATAAGGGACAGGTCCTACCAAAGCTCTAATCTAATTGGACCCTTTGGGCCCTCAAAGCACGAGCTTCGCTTACCTCCGACCAACCAAAATTGACATTGAGCCGGATTGAGTGGATATCGAATTATCTCTTCTTCTTTTTGAGGCTATTCAAAGTTCAAACCCCCTTTAACAACATCCATTCTAAATGAATGTACTTTGGTAAAACCTGGCCGATTTTCCGTGCAATGCAAACATGCCCGGTACAAGGTACCTAACGTACCTCTTAGGTAGCCAAGCATCTCAAACGACCAAACCCCTTTTTACATACCACCTCCTATTATGTACCTAGGTAGGCAATACTACCTTTAGACTTCTAACGATCCGCATAGCCGTTAGCTTAGCTGGTTAACTAATATCCCAACACCTTGGGCCCAAACCTAGGTCGGGTGTATATCAATTGAGGCTCACCGAGCCGCACATCAAATACACTCAAAACACCAGCTTCTCGGAAACTTCCATCTATTCATCCCATACCTATCTGTATCTGTTTGTCACTTTCAGACTATGTACCTGCCATTTGATCCCCCCGTAAGGAAATACTACCTAGAGCAGAGCAGACAAATCTGTTGGGAAATCTGTTGGAACCTCGGTGCTATTGAAGTCTTGAGTAACGTTGGAATGGTTACGTCCTCGGTATCTGTTAAGAACCCTAGTTGCCGAACAACTACCAATATGCTTATGATCATGTTGATTTTACCTACGTTAATATGCGACTAAGAAAACCAAAACCGAAAGAAATCGTCTAACAACAGCGTACGGATCCGTATTAATTTTGACTTCGTCTTCTAAGTACCTACCTCTAACGCTACTATAATATACAATGACAACAGCAGGCTAGGTAACACTCATCATTCATAAGTATCTAAAATAACGTACCTAGGTAGAGTACCTAGGATATGCAAAAAGACCCCAAGAAGCCAACGGCACTCGGGATGGTGAGATGAGAAGTGGTTAGTTAATGCTCAATTCATTATTGCGATTCTTGGCAAAATGCCTCTAAGCCATTGACTCCAATGAAAATATCCCGGAAAAAAACATTCGAAACTTCGCCGTATGGTTAGTTAAGTAGTTAAGAAGGTGGTATTGCTGACAGTCAAAGAACCCTTCGCTTATTTTTTTCCCCAGACGGCCAATTCGCATTCTTTGCAACTTTCGCATCGCTCGTCCTCGTCTCGTCTTGTCCCCCCAAATTCTCGTATATCATCACACGCTTCTCACGTTGCTGCTCCCGCCTGCTTCATGAATTGTCGTCTAGACGTACTGGGAAAGCCATCTTATACCCTCACCGTATCCTATTACATAAACGTTAGTTTCAAGGTCCTCCTGTGACTAGCTAGGTATTATCCAAAAAAAAATCGAGCCTCATTGCAACGAACCTTGTCTCATCACCACGGAGCACATGAAGACCTCGATGGGTCGGATACCCTCCAGCGGGACCTTGCCCTTCCCGGTCGTCTGGTACAGGCCCAATTCGTGGCGGAGCTGGTCCTCGGACACGGCGTTGGGGTGGTCGATCTTGTTCCCGAGGATGACGAACGGCACCTTGGCGAGCTCCTCCATGGACAGGAGGGCGTCGAGCTCGGCCTTGGACTCGGGCAGACGCTCGTGGTCCATGGCGTCGACTAAGAACACGATCCCGTTCACTTCCGGGAAGTAGTCCTTCCACAACCGACGGGCTAAAAAACACACGGATCGGACCTTGTTAGTCGAAAATCCTCACAACGGAACGTAACGTAACATAGCAAGCTCCTATTAAAATCATAACATAACGTACCTTGCTGGTGACCACCTAGATCGAACGTGGTGAAGCGCACGTTCCCAATGGCAAGTTCTTCGGATGCTAGGATGGTGTGTTAGCATGCTGACACGTGCGCTCGACAATTATCGTATAACCGCATGTGACATACTGGGATGTAGGGTAGGCTGTAGAATGGCAACTCGGTCATTCTATAATCCCACCGTGTTAGTATCATTTGTCTGTGACGAGAATTGCCAGCTCCTGCAAAGTCCTAAGATCGTGCAGGTACGATATAAGGACATCGACTTGGATGCGCGGGGAGGAGCGGAAAGCATGGACGAACCTTCAACATATGTAGTAGAGTTGTCTTTCCGGCATTGTCGAGGCCGAGGAACAGCAGCTTAGCATGCTTGTTCATCAAGCCGAGCGACGAGAGGACGTCGTAAACTGCGGCACAAACGAAAAGAAAAAAGCGTCAGCCGTGACCATTTCCGAAGGATCGATCCCGTGTTCGTCTTTGATAAGACTCACGGAGCTAGAGGGAGGGAAACTAACACCACTGAACAATCCACATCTTGAACGGTATTTACGCGAATTGCGAGTAGACAGAAGTATTCGGTCTTTGTAAGGCGTATGGGGGTTATACGTTTGGATCGAAAGGTTGTGCTGTCTTCGTAGGTTGTTCACGGAGATGGGGCGGACAATAAGTTGAAATGATACATGTAGGATCCGAGGCCGTCCCAAGAAATTTGAATGATGTTAAGGACAACCTGGAACTGGGAACCCAAGCCAGCCACATAAACGCTAGCCACATGTGGCTACGCTACGATAACTTCAACACGTCTGGAATGTTCATGACAGCGTGTACGTACCGACCATACAGATTTAAGGTTTACCTAAGGTAACGGTATGGAGCCACATATCAGCATTATAACAAGGCGATACGGGGAATATTTTTAACAAATACCACCTGATATCACCTATCACCCATAATCATAACGTGAGGTAAGCACAACTGCTCAGGTGCTCAAGATATGAGCATACAGTATGCAGTTACGTATAAACATAACTTAGTACATCGCCAAATCTCCAATAGCAATAACAGGTAGGTATCATGATCAATAATTTAAAAATTCACGTTTCACCCAAGCCAATGCCAATGTTTATCACGAAACACCGGTGACACCGATGGCACCGATCTTCTCCAATAGCGAAACCACATCCCGAATAAAAAAAAAACGCATGTAGGTGCAGCATGCATCTTCTAGAAACCCCATCGGATGTTGGTATGGGCATTTTAAATCTAGGTAGGTACCTAATGTACTAGATATTCCGCACGAGATCGTGTCTAAGTGCAGAACAGTATGAATTATAGCAAGTTAGACGATATCGAGTGTTGACACCTCATCATATTCTGCTTCATCTTGATCTTCATCATTATTATCATAAAGCATTTCATAAACCAAATACACCTTATAATCGAGTAGGCAATCATTCGTATCAACAAATAGGCTCAATTGCAAATTATATAACCAGATCGCCCGCCGCCTTTATGCTTGATGTGCCGTTCCCAAGTGGTATCATGAATGACCAATGCTGCCTGCCCCTATGCCGTGAAATGCGATGTATGCATTGTCCAGCGAGGATATCGCCTCGCGTAAAAGTTCATGAAGAACGAAAAAAAAAAAAAATAAAGTATATACAAAGACAGACCCTGGTAATAATGACAATACCGGATCAGTCTAGAAAAAAAAATAGATGCAACGAAGGGCAATAGCGAACAATGCAAGCCTGCACTCAATGGCCATAGAAAAGCCTCCACTAAATAGACAATACGAACTGGTCCGGACCTAGCTTTCCGGCCATAAGTAATCCGATCTCTCGCATCCTCTCGGCGCCCTGGCCAGGCTGTGGCTTCTTCTCAACAACCTGACCTTTCCGTGCCTTGTTACAATGCTTCTGGAAGTACTTCTCCTTAAATTTCTCCTTTCGGCGCTGACGCTTCGCCTCGAGACCCTTCACGATGTCGATGGCACCTCGCACGTGGCGCTCTTTTATGCTTGAGGATTTGCCTGATCGGCGATGTCCCTTCAAATGTTGAGGAAACATCGCAGGGGCGCGTGGGAGCGACTTAGTATGTGTCAAGCCAGGTCGAAATGCCAGACTCTTGAATTCATGCTTTCTAAGATTGTCATCTTGAATGAGCGATGATGGAGGGGACCGCACCATAGGACCTGGAGCTGGCGAGGCGAGCCGACGCGGTGAGCGTCCGTCGAAGAGACGCTTCGGTGATCGACCTCGAGGCTTTGGAGGAGAGTGATGGCGCTTGGGCGGTGGTGAATGATATCGTCGTGGTGACGGCTGGTCCGTTCTTCTTCTTCGTCGCTCAGCGCCATTCTCAGCGTCATGCACGTCCTCAGACAGGTGACCATCACTTCCATGAATAGATCTGCGAGGCTCAATGTCTTCATCTTCCGGCTCAGACGTGGGGAAACTGGGGTCGATATCCTGGGGAATTGGATGGAGCTTCTCTCGACGCCTCGCGGCTATACATGAGATATAGGCCTCCTCCAGCGGTCGGTCCTCATCCAACGTGCCACAAACGAAATCGGTGCTATCCGGCAATTCGGGTGTACCAGGGCGCATCTTAATCCGACGAGGTTTCTCTCGTGGTGTCCTAGTCAGATTAGGCATATCAGAAGATGATGAATCTGACCGGTTACCCGTCATGGATAATCGACGGAAGATAGGTGTGTTCCCTGAAGTTTGAGTAACTGGGCCACGATTAGGGGTCCACAGCTCCAGGTTCCCGTCATCGTTATCATCATCATCCGAATCGGCAAATCCAACTTCGTTATCGGTATTGTAGCCGTCCGAGAAATCATCATCAGACCCATAACCCGATTGATTGTCGACCTCATAACCATCATCTATCTCATCTTCCATGGTCTCATCCGGGAGATCCACTCCGTCTTCATCTTCGTCGTCTTCTTCTTCTTCTTCCTCTTCCTCCTCCTCTTCATCATTCAGCTCCTCCGCCTCTTCCTCTTCCTCCTCTTCGAGTTCTTCCTCTTCGGCTTCTTTCCCTAACCGCCGAATCTCATTTTCCTTTTGCAGTGTATCATTAATAGTTAGTCGACGACCAGGCGGGGGGAGATTTAGACGGATCCAATCTTCTTCTTGTGGTCCATCACTAGCAAACTCATGGAAACGAGAAGACTCGCTGTCCAGGTCGTTCGGGTTCACAGTCAGATATTTAGCCGATCGAGGTGGCATTGGACTTCGCGACGATGGTCGCGGAGTCAAGGACCTAAGCGATCGTCCGCGGGTAACGGAAGGCGATCGAAGCTTGCGCACAGTGGCGGGAGAATCGTTACATTCTTTCAACGATGCGATGGTCGAATTGGGGACGGGTTGCCGTACATTTCCCTTCGGTGGTGTCTGAGGATCCAATTTTGTAGGGCATGCAAATTTTATGCAAGATTTCCTCTGGGGCTTCTCGTCTACTGGTGGCTTAGGCTCAACTGACTGAAGAGATGGTGGCTTCGTAGTATCGGATTTTTGTCCACACGCGAATGAAATGCAGCGTTTTTTGGTCAAAGCTTCTACTGCAGGATCCTTTGGTAACCCATTGCTTCCCACGGGCTTACTCAAAGCGGCCACTTGCATGGGTTGTTGGGGGTCACGCTGTGGAGTAGATTTGGATTTGGCGTCGAAATAGAGGTCCATGTTCAACCGTGAAAATGATATTACAGGTGGCGGCGGACTAGGTGTGTTTGTGCGCGCGGGGCTTGTGAAGCCAGTATCGCTGGTAAGGTCGGCAGTAGATGCGAGGCTGACGCTGCTATTCATTGAACGTCTCCTCGATGAGTTGAAAATCGAATTGAAAGCATCCTCCTCTGAATGAAGGGCTTTCGTTAAGAGAGATTCGGAATTGTCCGCTGGTTTTCGTACGACATTCCGCTTAAATTGGGTCTCCGGACGTAAACGACGATTATCGGGGGGTTCGTCAACTTCAGCCGCAGCCTCATCTTCCGGTGCGTGTTGCATGCCCGCCCGTTGCGCGGCAAAAACCAGCAGATTTGCGCCGGCCGAGTCGTGAATCAAATCGTTCGCCATATCGACGGTGATAACAATTGAATTTTTGGATATACGATAGGAACATGCGCAATGCAAAACCCGTCAACTTATACCACTTATCAATTGTGCTCCGTCCAAATACGCACTTTACAGTTCCTTACTGCGTGCTATCTTGAATTTGTAAATTCTTCTTTTAAGAGGTGGAAAGGTTGCTAGTTTAGAGGAAATTGTATATGATTTTTTGTCGAATGTTTCGGAGGCTACAGAGTAGAAGCCGAGTCTCCAGCGAGAGGAGATTCGTGGTATTTGTCCCTAGGGACCGCTTCGCTATAATTGCCGGCCCATGATGTCGCAAGTTCGCGGTTGAAGGTATTGGAGAAGGTTCGAAAGGGTTGCTGCGGATTTTCTCCTTGAAAGAAGCAGTCAAGGTAAGAAGTAGTTGTAGTCGATGAGGGTAAGTCGAGGTTTTAAGTGGGTGGCAATTGTATTGAGTTAGATGTATTATGAACTCCGAGACAGAGTAAACCGATAGATGTAAGCAATAAAAATAAATAAAAAATCTACCTCCCTCGAACGGCAGATAAAATTGGTTCGGCTGAGTGTTAAGGCTTAGGGGTCTTGGAAAACTCTTGGCCTTGACTAAAATATGACGTCGAGGCGTTGCCGTCTGCCGTGAGTGTGTCCTTAGGGAGACGAAAATGGAATATTGGTATTGGGTGAATCAAGTACCAAAGTTGAATCGCAGAGGTTCCAAGAAGGCCAAGAGGCAGTGAAGTCCGAGCCCTTGAACCCAAGGACTCAAGGACGAGAACTACTGGAAATAAGAAGTCTCAGTAAGAAGTGGGAGAAGGAGGCGATAAAATGGGAAAATGAGAATTCAGGATTTAGGAATCTAAAAAACGGGGAAGGGAAGACCCTATGAGGATGAACTAAAGGTTACGGGATCTGGTCCTGCGTTTTTGGTGGTGGTTTTGTTTGCGTGTGTGGGTACTTCTAGGATAGTGCTAGAATGACTAAAGAAACTACTAGGCTACAAGCCAGGAAGTAAAGAAGAAAAAAAAAGATTTGATCACCACCGTACGAAGTAGGTAATACAAAAGCAACGCTGCAGCTGAAGCACTGGAGCGGTGGGAATGGGAAATGGAAAACGACTGGGAATCCAAATCTTAGAAACAGGCGGTAGGTCCTGCACAACTTAACTGGTCCTTACCTAGGTACCATACATATTATTCTATACAAATTACAATGTATAGTACATTATGAAAAGTTACATAGTAGAGAGAAAAAAAGGCAAATGGCAACTTCTCATGTGGCATCAGACGCTAAGGTCACTGTTGTACTCTGGTTGCACAGTGCCTGTCATTTGAGTTTAGTTAGAGCTAATGAACAAGTGAATATTGTATCAAACCTAGCAAAAAAAGAAAAGAAAAGAAAGAAAAAAACCTGCCTTGAAGTACATAGTGAAAGTACCTAGCATAGTGGGGACTCCCCCGAGGCACCTACCCTCATGTAAGTATCTGAGGTACTGAAGGTACGTATTACATAGGTAGTGGATCTACAGTGGAACGTACCGAGGGTTCGTACACCGTGCGCGATCAGACTGTGATGATGATGTGGGAATGATTGCTGCTAGTGGCGGATAATGAAGGCTTGGAATCTTGGCTTTGAACGTGGATTACGGGCGGGGATCTACGAGGACGAGGTACCCTGGTTTCTTTCGCCTTTGATTCAGTCTTTTTTTATCCGTGCAGCATCAGCGCCAGCCCGGCAGCCATTCATCACCGAGAAACCCCCGGTTAGGACTTCAAGAACGAGGCGGTCGTAGGTGGTAAAGTAACGTGTGTTGATGGTAGGTACTTGCTTACTTACATAGCCTGGGTTCTGGATAACTACCTAGCGGATTATTATAAGACAGTCACAGATTCCTTATTTTACACGCCTCTTGTAGGTAGACCTTACCTACCCAAGTAAGACATGTGCTTACCTAGGCTGCCAGGGTACTTATACGCTGTCTCAGCATTGAATTGAATCACGTATATAATATGCTGAATTCTGGTATGTTAAGTACCTATATTTCAATTTGATTAATGATTCGATTTATTACGAATAGATGAATTGACGACACCTGAATTTACGCCGGATCGGTAGGCTCTTCGATCCTGATTTCCCTAGTGTAGTATTCCCTTTCCCAGCACAATGGGAATACCTACCGAATGTATAATGCCGATTTCGCTTTTCCGCATCCAAGTGTCTATCTGAATGTATGTACATATGCATTACGACTTGGGCTATTGCTGGAAAATTGCAGTACATCAAATAGGTAATACATGGCATAACATAGCATAGCACAGCAGGCACGAACCAGCGTGGGTGGTCGTACAGGGGAGGCCGAGGCCGCTCTTGGAAAAAGTAAAATAAAGTAAAAATGCCCGGGCGCATCTAGACCTGCAAGTAATATCTCCTTATTTTTGTTAAAGCTGTACGAAGTACGCCGTACATGAACTCCCCGGGCTGAAATTACCTACCTTCTATAGATCCGTATGTAGTAATCCCGTATGTTTTACTCGATCGCCGCCGGTGAGCCACTTTTGGAACTAGCAATTTTTTTTCTCCTTCGATTTAATTTCGCGCACTACGTCGCTCCGATAGATAGTGAAACTGGACTCGTCGGCTATCTAGTGTACATTACAAGTCTAGTTGATCTACTATGTAAAGACTAAATCATGCAAATTTCTTACATAGTACTTGCAGGCTAGAAAAACTTTTTCATTGTTGGTCCGTTGGGGAGAATAATACCTACCAAGAGTATCATCCCCTTTTTGAAAAAAACCTCTCATACTTTTTTTAAGTTCACAGTGTCCGTAATGAAACCCCTATTGACGACTACATTAACGAACTATAGTACATTAGGAGGTGAGTACCTAAGGTATTCATCACAATGAGTTAATATGAATAATACCTTGTTTTTCGCTTAATTTCTTACTTTTTATTATTTCTCTCCTTTGTGGTTGTAAGCATTTCCTTTGAAATGAATGGATGGATTGCCGGATTCTTACGACATTCTGCTTTTCCCCCAATCGTTTCTTACTATAGAATAGGTATCTAGAAGACTCTTTAATCAAGATCCAATGTAGATAAAGAATCCGGATGCAACCGTATAATGAGCTTGTCGTCTAACCCACCCTCCTTTCGCCTATGCCGAAAGTTGTGCAATGATACTCCGTACTTTCAGCAATTTTTTTTTCTCTATACATAGTACTATGTAGTGTAGCTATACTAACTACCTACCTAACCATAATTATGCTAGGCAATGTAGGTAGAATGTAGGTACGCCAAACTTGGACGCTTATGTGTATCGTATCATTGCATAATCTCCTATGTAGCGAAATGCAAACATAAAGGTTGGTTCGCCCGGACAGGCGGTGAACTCTCGTAGATTTTACGAAATCTTAAGGTTCTCTCTACTAAGTCTCGTCCCGGCTCTTCCCAAACCAAAGTAAACAAATCCTAGGAAACGTAAGACGTAAGATAATGAGCCCTACGGTGACGAACTCGTTTGTCAGAGCTGTGACAACTGTCCAGCGGGGGAAGAGACTTTCAGGGAGGGAGACCTCTAGTGTACTAGGTAGGTAGGTAGGTATGTAAGAGGTAGAGGTATGTTGTACAGTGCAGGACAGTAGGGGATACATTTCAGATCCGTTGCCCCGGCTCGAAGCAAATTTATGATTCGTCGAGTATCGATTCGACATTGCCCTCCTGCGTTCAGCATGACATTTGGTACCGTTACGCAGCACGCTCGCAAGCTGCAGCACGCAACCTAATTCGGGCCACACTCGCGGGTGCTCGGAACAATAGAAGTAAATCGTCAATGACATGTGGATTTCTTCGCTTCTTCGCTTGCCTCATATGTAACTCTATCACTTACACCATCATGCTCTCTGACATCAGAAAGAGAAGTTTGGACACCCACTACGGGTTCACCTTATTATACTCGTCGTTGATCTCTGAGAGAAATTGGAGTGCAGCTATCGTGGAACACGTGTTGGTTCTACGCTGCTGGGACATGTGAATCTTTCGGGCACCTTAGCAGCTTACCTAGTTGACGTGATGGGGAGTTGACAAAACCTTGCGCGCTTCTCCAAATCCCATTGTTGTTTCCCGCCAATCGAAAAGCTTGTCGCTAGTGCTATTGTACGGCGTATAAGGCGGATATAGACCCCCAATCCCCCTTCAGGATGAAAGAGGGTTGATCTTCTTTAGACGGGCTGACGGGTGGCCTGACAGTTAGTTACCTTGCGAAACTCTATTCGTTGCTTTGTTGTTTTCCATATTTTAGCTGACGGGTTGAACACTGCCTAAGCAGCACCATTCTGTCCATCGTTGCTTTTCTTGCTCTGTCTAGTTGGTGACCAGACTAGTAGCGGCGCGCGATGCAAGGCCAACCCTTCGTACTTGTGATCTTGCCCCTTCGGCTACATGGTATGGCCAGCATGGATGTATGGCTAAGGAGGATCAAATCCCCCATCTAGCCTAGCCCATGAGATCCCCATAGTAGTAGTAGTAGTATACTATATATGCAGATGCTAGTTTCGAGGACCCCGCATTCCAAACTGCCCATCGAGCTTATTGCTACTAAAAGGGCGGTATCAGCGCGTGGTTGAAAATACTAAACCTAGCTTGGCCAATTCTCCGTTGACGGTTCGCGTGTTCATTCATGCGGTACTATAGAGTATATCCCCTCACTCGTGATGTTTGATAAATGTGTAACATCCGCTTGCATGTAAGAGGGCTCGATCCTCCAGGGTCTAACGACGATTTGGGGGTCTCGGGGCCCTGGGGCCCTAGTTGAGTAACACTAAATACCTCGTGCTAGAAGTAGATTCGGAAGTGGTTCGTGAACCACACACACATCGAGCAATGATGCAATAATGCAATGCTGCAATACCGCCGAGTTTGAATCAACACCACCCTTCAGCAGATTAGCGCACAAGTTAGAGATCACCTGCACAATTTCTCTTGGTCTAACTTTGGGTACAGCTACGTATTCAGGCATACTGAATGCTTATGTCGTCGTACAATTTGTGTACACCCAAGATTCCATCATCAACGCTGGCACGCGATTCAGTCTCACTTGGCTTGGCAGGGCAAAGTTCACTCCGACAAAGAATTACTTCTCTTTAGATCCAAATCGCCACGTTTTGACAGCGACGCCGCTAGTATGGTATAAAGGGAGACAATTTGATTGACTTATACATTTTTTAGACTGTTCTTTTTTTTTCTCCTTCGGAACATCTTATTAAGACAAGACAAGGTCTTAGTCGTTGAATAATATTAAGTATATTGACGTAGACATTAGATCTGTCTAGACTGTCTAATGTCGCACATTACGACATAAAAAAGAAAAGAGAAGCAAAAGGGAGTCGGAGATTTAGGAAAATCATATCATGAGTTTCGAGTGAGGTGTGGCTGTCGGGGGCTGTCTTTTTGGGTGTGTGTGGCACTCCCTGTGCGAAAGGCTGGGAGGGCAGCCCGATGACTAATAAGGTGGGGGTTTTGCCCGAATTACAGTGGGCCATATGCCCAAAACCGCCAACTCGCTAAAAAGTATATAACATAATCTAAAATTGAATAATATAATTATAAAATAGGTAAATTTTTATGAAACTTTTGTTAGAGATTTCCATGAGATTCCGTGTGGTCTCCAGCTTCATTATCTGACTCGTCGTTATGCTCCCCAATTTCGCCGGTGGACTGGAAGGAGGAATATTTGAAATGTGATCCTAATATGTCTTCGGATCCGTCTTACGTATTTAGACATAACTCGGAGCAACAATGATAGAGCTTCTCGACCACACTCCATAGTTGCTTGCGGACAGGAAGGGGACGTGAGATCAAGAAGGCTTTCGCTATCTCGGAGCTCACGAGTACGCTTAAAGCATCCGCAAGCTTATCAAAGAGCAACTGGAGATGTGCATAAGACGCTACTGATTCGACAAATTCATATTATGTCCTGGCAGGCGTCAGAGGTTCGATAAAGGGTGGCTCCGGTATCCCCGAGGAGACGTGTTTGCTAGTAAGAGGCAGATTCGTACATGTCTCAGGGGTAGCGATACCAACGACTGGAGATCCAGGAGGAGGTGTCTCTGGAGATCTTAAGATGGTTGTTCCTGCCATGTTACCCCCTGGCCGTTGCTGTTCCAAACAAGGACGAGATGAATGCTCTTTAGGAGAAACTATCATTTTGAATAGAAGGTTGGCCAAAAGCTGGGTTTAGTATTTTGAGATAGGGGTACGATGCTCGCCGTTTGCGAGGGGGGAAAGAAGCATTTTTATAAACCCTCACATCTGAAAAGCCTTCGGCCCGAGACGTGCGAGTATTGTATATAGCATTCCTGTCAGTAGTTCACGTCAAACAACTTCCTAGGAAGTCGTTCTTTTAGCTCTTCACTTTTATTTACACTCTATGGACTATCATGCATTTATCCCTGAATTAAAGGGGCACCGCCTCGCGTTATTGCAAAAGGTGACTTCCTAGGAAGTCTACCCTATCCCAAACAGCTCCCCCATGCTTCGTTCTAGATGATCCCTCGACATACTGGCGGGATTCTATCCTCTGGGGGCGCAGGCCCATAAAACGACGTATGACTGCGCTTGCAAGAGCGCAATATTATGTGGTATGTGGGTTGCACTCGGAGATCTACCCTTTTATTAACCATCACAAGCAGAGCAATAAACAGGGGCTGGTATGAGACGACCTTGTTGAAGGAAATTTAATACTAGTGAGGCCATTCCCGATCCTGACCCTTGACGAGCAGGCGGAAAGGCGCTCAAGTTTTCTATGACCTTCTATGTCTGAATAAGCGTAAGGTCCTTATGGGCTAGTTACCTTCCAAAGGGCGTAGTAGTTCTCGTGACACTTTGGTAGGATACGAGAAGACTCAAAGGAGCAACTAATCCTTCTTGATCGACAGTGTTGCCGCTATTAATGGAGTCATCTCCGTAAACCACTAGAAGTAGGACATTTATTTACACCAGAAGGAGGGTGTGATAAGCAAGTTTGTCTGTGTCATACAGATCAGACGCACTTACTATCACAATGATCTCGTCAGGAGTCGTATTGTGTATATAACTCAAGCCACGCGACGAACGAAGGACGATGATACATATTACATAGGAAACACAAAGGCTAGATGCGTGAATATATGCCTTTAGACCAAGTAGCTACAACTTAGGTCCCTCATGAAACAACCCCTTTACTCCCTCCTATCCTATAGGATGCCTCGTGATAGATATCCACTCTGGAATCAAGTTCGATGTCAAAGATTTGAATAAGGTTTATCAGTAAGTATAGGTAATATACATGTTCATATGTAGTAACAAAGGAATTGTGATAAGTATATGTAACGATAAGTATCTCTCCTTGGCCCCTTCAGAACGATTTTATATACCCCCCAACGAGGTCATGACACCTATAAATGCGACACCTTATACATGATAGTTGCCAAAGTGATTATTTTGTTAAGAGATGTAGCTCTTCGTTGCACGATGTACAACAACCATCAGATGTAGTAATGCCAATCATAGGTACAGTTTCTTCAGGTCGGTGGTTAACGGACTCATATTTATCGAGAGAGGAATTTGTCGTATTAATGAGTTGCACGCATTCCGAGTTGGGTATAGAGGTGGCCGAAGTGTTGCTTGACATTTTGATGCTAGGTATGTAAGGTGATAGGTTGAAAGTTGATTCTAGGTCGAAGTTCAAGAAGGGTTGATCATACTGGAAAAGATAAAAAGAGAGAAGAGAGTCCCAAGTCTGATCGTGGGGGGAGCAGCTGTTTATTTATAGAGAGAACAGGACCTCTGCGCAATATCGTATAGTATTATGTTAGCAGAGCCACTCCCACTGTAGATTGGTCATTGACTACCTGGGTAGATAGCTTTCTCCCACAGCCACCTAAGATACCTACTTAGGTACCTATATGATAGATCTACATTGAATGTATAACACACTATTGAGTTGGTCACCGACATACATTGTTTGATAGACTCGTATTCATTCTATTTTCGTTCCTAGAGCCCCATGTGTTAGCCTGTCACCCATCTGTCATATATTGAATTTTCAGAAGACCTGCCCATTCCGAAGCAAGTAGAGCAGCTTGACGTAGCAATATAGCTGAACACGGTATATTCAAAAGAACTCGTACAGAAATATTGACTCCGTGTCTTTGGGTATGGTGACTGAGCTAAACAATATCTTCACGGTTTGCCCAAACAATCTTTCGATTGCTCCAATAGAAAAAGCACCCAATCTGTCCCAGAAGCTAAATAGAACAATAGAAGTAACGAATCCCTAAAAGCCGCATATGAAATAGTATTATTAGAACGGATAATTACAAATCCAGGAGGCCGCCATGGAATGGTTCGGTAAGACTTCTGAGTTGATACTAACAAGACTGATAGACCTTCCTATTAGAAAATAGGCGTTTGGTCCCATAACATGACCCCCAGTGTTGAGGTGAGACAAATGTGAGGGAATAGGATAAGGTGTATTAGTCCAGGAGAAAGTCTAGTAGGCGGGCGGAAGACCAGATATATATGTACATGGTAAGTAGGTAGGTACCTAAGATAGTATAGGACCGCATAGTGTGGTAGTCACCTCATATTCCAACATCCAGGCCTCTCCTGTATAAATTGGCTCTCGCCCGCACGTTCCTTTCTGTCCCGGGCAAATATATTGTAGCATATCCTCGTCTCTCAACACTCATACATCTTAGAGCGACCAGCAATTATGAAACTTCTGTTTTTAACCACGGCCATCCTACTGGCTCAAACAGCCATTCGTGCGTTGTGGTTTTCAGTCTGTTTTCATGGACATAGGCTCTCATGGTGTTACTCAGCTCATTTTCTAGTTACCTGCGCTTCTGGCTTCACACTTGGTCAAACCGCTTTGCAATCTGTAGCCTTTTCTGCATCTTTTCTCTCGAGGTCAGTCTCTTTATATGGAGTATTTACAAATAACACTGATATAAACGAAGCACAGTCACTGCATGTTGCCGTGGCTACAGTAAAGAACCTGATTCCAAGCTTGCTGCTTTTAACCATAGAAGTGGTGGCGTTTGTTACCGTCCTATCCATCCTACCCGAAAACAAGATAGCAACTCTCAGCCTAGGAATTTATCATGCCATATGGATTCACGCATCATACAAAATATGGTACCGGCAAGACAAGATTGGATAGAATTCAGATAGGTCGAATATTCGCACACCAACATATAGACTTAAGGCGTTCTAGAAGACGAAATATCTTTTAGACTCCTAGCAATGTATAAATTGACAGATTATCCATTTAGGGGTATATTGGAAAAGCGATACTGCTTATGCTTGCTTGACACTCCGCGACAGGGTATTACTAGGGAAATCGGCATGGCATTTCAGCAACGGCTACCTTATCGCGGATGAGGGCATTCCCATGGAGCATCTACAAGTAGGTGAAAGGAATGAAAAATGGATGTATCAGAACCTCCAAGCCTCGTATTCCCGGGGGGACTATCCAGTCATTCCTTCGTCGGCGGACTCTCCAGGTACGTCGTCGTCGAACCCTTCAAGATTGTCTTCCGTTGCTGCCTCAGAGAGGGCATCCGTGATTATTGTGAACTCATCCATTTGTGGCTTACTGTGTGCCATGTGGGGACCAAAGTTTGTGATTTTGGCCAACCCTGAGAAAGCTGCTTGTTTGCCACGGATGTAGTCGGCCCAGGCTGCGGAGTACTCCAATATGACAAACCAGTATTCGTTCCTGTTGATCCCAACCGTAACATGCCTACAAAGATTCGGTAATGTTAGCCACGGAAACTTTGGGTTTAGGCAAAGGGGGGTTCTCATACCTTCCTAGCCGGCTACTCTTTCGTAGCTTTTCAATTTTCTCCTCTGGCAAGTTGCAAACCGCTGCGGCCATCTGGCACGCTTCTTGCGCTTGCAAAGCTGCTGCGTAATCTGGACTAGAGTAACGATTCCCCTTTTTCATCTCCATAGTTAAACTAAGGAACTCAACTCCAGAAACTTCCACTATCCCGTCTACTACGGCAGTGAATAACTTCTCGCCATTCTTGTTTTTGGCTGTAAATGACCTTTGAGTGGGTTTCCATGCTACGGAATTGGCATCTTCAGAATGGCTCCTCGTGAGTCGTCCAGATAAAATGCCATTGACGACCACCTCTTGTTCACTCGGCATTGTGCCCTCTTGACCTGTCGATTCGGGTGATGGTTGCTCGACCGAGGAAGTGGACGAAGTAGCCTGCATCCCTTCAGATTCATCGTCTACATCCATCTTATCAGAGTTTTGTGCTCGAGGCGGACGGGACGGTGTTTGCGGGGTCTGTGCGGGTTGCAAGATCGTCAACCTTAGGCAGCATTCCATTGACCGACAGATCTCCCCTGTACCTACGTCTATATTATATACCTGGGTAGGTAGCTATCTCCCTCCTACAACTTTCCTTCCAACTCATTCGCATCTTCTCCCTTGCACATCAACCCCTCTTACAAGTCTATTGCACGGCCTACAAACCCATCTTCCACAATGTCGTAACCAACTCAGAAGGAGGACCCGGACGCGCAATCTGTCCAGACCATCACCAGGAAAATTTGGAGACGTTTCCGACGCAACGAGCTCAATCTCACATGTGTCAGTGAGACGGATCTGGCTAAGTATAATTTTCGGCGTACCCGCATTGACTTTACCACCGGAACACCTGACGATGGAGGTCCCAAACTTTTTGAACCGTTACCCGAGGACAAGCTGGGAATTCAGAACCAAGATTTGGAACGATTCATTGAAGATGTCATTAGTTATGGTGATCATACTAATTTCCACATTGCGCATATGGTGGTAGAAGGTATCCGGTACCTATTAAGCTGTTCAGTCGGCTCCTCGGGGGTTGACTCCAACAAAACTGTAAAAGAATGTGGCCCATGGGATATGAGTGAGTAAGTAACCTACGGACGCATTCGTGGACCATCACGGTAAACTGGCTCGTGTATAGACTAGTTAATGCGAAAGCTAGGTTCCCTGATGGCAAAATCAGGTCCCTTCTAACGGCCTTTATCCTATATCCTCGTGACGGCGAGTCCGTGGATCTTAAATGCCTCAATGCAGTCGATCACGACCTTCAGGATGACACTGTCTATTGGACTGAGTTTTACGCCACATGCGCATGGCTTATGATGAGATTTAAGGATATGAGGGACTCTCCTCGGGAAACTTCCGTAAGTCCCTACACCCCGCACCTCCATATTCGACACTCCTTGTTTTGCTTTTTGCTTATTTTATTTAAGGTCACCGTCATTACATTTTCAAGCAAAAGGTGCAGGATCTCGCAAGTCTATTATACGCATGATAGACAAAACCCTATGAATTTTCGACAATCAGATATCGTCACACTCGATGGGACTGAGGAGGAGGTTCGTCCCCAAGCAACCTCCGTTTTGGGTTGGTTATTGGCCGAGTCGCGCTGGAAATCTGCGTCAGACCGTAACTAGGCAAGCTGAGGTCGGATTTAGGACACAATCGAGGAGTTAGCACTCATTGATTTCCTGTCAATCAAAGACGCGCGTTCTAACGCATTCTCGGCCGACTTGGCCGTACTAAAAGCCCTTGAGTGCATCCGACGTGATGATCTTCCATCGACCCACGCGGCACTCTCGCAGTTTACACCTTTATTCGCTTCGACGTTTGAGAAATCCCAGAAGGAAGTTATAGAACCAATCTATGGCATGGTCTACCGTTTCCAAAACCGTTTCCACGAGGCCTACGATGTCTTATCTACTGTCCGTAGCCTAAGCAGCAAGACCCTTGCTCATCTGGCGGCCGTCATGTGTGAGCTCGGAGAAGAAAGCAGGGCCATACCAAGGTTGGAGGCATGGCAGGGGCCCGCATTCGACTCGCATTAACAAACGCACATCTCACCGGGGGTATTCGCCAATTATTGTCTGGGAAGGCCTGGCATGGCTGTCAAAAAACCCAATCCATGTACCAAGAATTAGAGACAAGTGGCCGGCTCGGGTGGATGGATCGTATTTCAGTTTCTTTAGGTATTGCAATTACTGAACATGTGGGTAAGCAACCTGGATCAGCCATCCAGAAATGGCAGGACGTCCGTAACCTGTCCAGGCAGTTCCAACTGCCTTTCGGCTATACTGATGTGATCGTCGACCTTTCTATCTGTGAGCTAGAAGCGAGCCTTGGGAGACTACAAGAAATTGAGGTGATGAGGGCAAGAGATGCGCTGATGAATGTGAGGTGCCAATTTTATTTCACCCTCTTGGGTCCTGTCTGGCTGGGCCTCCTCAAACAGTGGCTTCAACCAAATGGGCGACAGCAAGCTTGAATAGCTGAGCTTCAAGATTGCGTAGGCCTAAACAGGCAGTCGCTAATTGACACTATTCTTACTGATTGTTCAAAGAGAAAAAAAAAACGTATTAGCAATATAAAGACACTGCAACAAAATTGAGTCTAACAACTATTAATGTTATTACGATGTCTCTAGCGGTATGGTGTTATCAAGGATGTGCAGGTGCTAGCTGATACATAGTCACTAGGTTAGTAGACAAAGTGTCTAGTTATAGTCGTATTTCTATTCCTCCGCCGCTGAACATGATCCTAGAAGCTCATGAGTACTTATATCATGTATCATCATGGCCACTTCAGACATACTATCAAGGTCCACTGTGCCATGGAATCGTAGCGGTATAGTAAACCACACAAGTTAAACCTTGATATAATGTTCTTTTAACGGAAAACGGATCCTGTTAGAATATAGGGGCCCTGCCCTATAATGCGCCTCGAAATCTTTAATACTTCATATAGCGCTTCAGCAGCATCACTGGGTCTGCCAGAGAGAACGTGGAAATCCGCAGCTAGGGCACCGCTTGACAAACAAGGGTGTTGCGTCGAGAATTGCGAATACATTTTATGATAGATTAATGTTCCATGTGTGCATGGCTTTGTGTTAAGCTACCTAGATAGTATACATGTCCAACCGATGTCTTGGCTATTCCAATTTCGCCCCAGGCAGTTCTGCATGATGCAGCGGCATGTCAGGCGAGACACGGAAGAGAGCCGTCAAATTTCTAAAGACTGGAAGAGGTCCCATAAACTCCCCGTACGGATCTTGTGAGTGTCTAGAAAATCCCGGCACTGCCGATACGATGGCCACAGCACATGGAGATCAGGGTTGACGTCGCCGCCGGGTGATCGACTCCGAGGTCATCATCACTGACATTCATTTTGCGGTCTTTCTGGGCCAATGTTATAAGCAACCGCTTGGGGATCCGATGTATGTATGTCATACATGTGACCGTAGAAGGAGTCCGCGTCCTCGAACTTGCCGCGGCAGCGCCCGTCAGGGCATGTGGTCTGCCAGGGTTGGCCGTGCGAACAGATATGTGCCTCCCACTCTCTGCCAACTCAGCTCTACCGGTAGGCGGTCCTGCTTTCTTAGATGAGATAAACAGTCCTGCTCCCAAGCTCCATAGTCGTCTAGCCAAATATTACAAAAAAAGCAGAATTCTGTAAATGGCAACTTCTTTTTCTTGCATTGGTACACGTGCAGTTGTGACCTAATTACCTAGGTTAGCAAGATCCTTGTGTGTTAAGGGGTAGAATCGTGCACTTACGGGGCTTTCCCCCTATTCCGGCATGAGCAATGTGACTTGTCAAGCCCAGGTCGTTCAACTTCTGAGTCGCTTTCGTAAAGAGCGAGTAAAGCCAGTATGGCTTCCCTTCCTTCTAGACTCCGGAGCTTTGCTGGGATAAGTAAGAGGTCTGCCAGTCGCTGGCGATAGGGGAGAACGGGGCGAAGTCGTAAAAACAAACGATCGACCCCTCAACAGACATACAGCTGAGATCCGGCAAAAAACTCCGTCGAAATATTAGAGACTCTTTTATATAGGTAGGTAGTTGTGAAAGGGGAATCAAGGCCCTGGTGGCCAAGCTTCTGGTCACGTGATCTAGCCTAGAGTGTACGGCTATGTGTACCTAGGTATCTCAATCTCAAGATCACGTGAGACACTATACCAAACAAGGCTAGTCTTGACTTTCTACCGAAGGCCCGACAACTTCGAAATTGCTTCCAGTCAACGTTCATCGTGAGCTCGCCCTGGTTGCGTATTCCTCAATTGGCAGCACTAGTCATCATGAACACTCTCCGCGTCGCTCGCGCAGCCCTCAGGGCTCGTCCCGCAACTATGCGGCTACCCATTCAGCCCCTTCAGCGAAGGACCTACGCTGAAGCCGTATCCGACAAGGTTTGTTCTTCTCATTCTTCTCATTCCTCTCATTCCGAATTTCTTCGTGTGCTGAAGTCTTTTTTGCTAACTCTCACCACAGATCAAGCTGAGCTTATCCCTCCCTCACCAGGTATGAGAGTCGAGTCCCCGCCGTATCGCATGATCTATCGCATAGTCCTCGAATTATTACCATCAGGACCACCAAGTTTTAATTAGCGCACGCTGCGAATACGACCTGGTATATGCATTAGGTATATAAATAGCTAGCTAATTCCCGCAATAGTCTATATACAAGTCCCAAGATGTTGTCCAAGTCAACATCCCCGCCGAGTCTGGAGAAATGGGTGTACTTGCCAACCACGTGCCATCAATTGAGCAACTGAAGCCAGGTCTGGTCGAGGTCGTTGAGGAGAGCGGTAGCAGCAAGCAATTCTTCCGTACGTGATATGACGAATGATGAAATACGGCACCAGGATATAATGCTAAATATCATTCTATAATAGTCTCTGGTGGCTTTGCCGTCGTGCAGCCTAACTCGGTTTTGAGCATCAACGCTGTCGAGGGCTTCCCCCTCGAGGACTTCAGCGCAGAAGCTGTCAAGGCCCAGATCGCCGAAGCACAAAAGGTTGCGAACGGTGGCGGAAGTGAGCAGGACGTTGCAGAGGCCAAGATTGAGCTAGAGGTATGTCATAAATATTATTTCATAATTCAGGTCGCATTTCAAATAAGAAAATAAGAGGTAAATACTAACATATTCACAGGTTCTGGAGAGCCTGCAAGCTGTTCTCAAATAGATCATACCTTAGAGGAGAGGGAGAGAAACCTCAATGGCAATCTGTATATCATAAACATGCTCCTTACTACCAAGACGCCTAATAGCACGAATTGAACATGCTTAAAGGTCGACCACCCGTTCTGGCGCCTTCCTCTATTCGTATCAGTGCTTGCCTTTTTTATCTCTTGCCTTACTCTTGCTTCCTTACTACTTCTTGTCGGGGGTTCAAAGTTAAAATCATATAATTTTCTATACCATCTAAGCTACCATCTAAGTTTATCCAGCTTCAGCTTATAGCCCGTGTTCAACCTGAGCTCTCCATATCCCTATTAACTAACGATCGCCACGGGTATATCGAGTATTGGTTATTTTATTATAGTGGCAACTCCATTGCCGTGGGCCAATTCTTACTGTTAGTCATAGATTTTCAAATCAACATCTTAGCTCTCAAAACATGTCAATCTGCTCATGGGGTGACCCCCAAACGAGCGCAAATGTATCCACTATCTACGAGCCAGCGTCGTTGGCCCAAAGAACCATTCCGAGGGGAACTGTTTCGTCACGGATACGCCGCCTTCACCGCCTTACTCATTCCCATCATGAGTTACCGGAGGACTTGGAGTTTATAGCTCGGGAACGAAAATACGTACTGATTGGCTAGGGACGGCATTCGGGTTCATATTTCCACGTTGCGCGGCCATGGCTCGGTCCTCACACATATTCGCTTGTTGGCCAGGAGCATGACCGGAGTGGCCATGATAAAGGTCCTATCGTAACAGTTAATACCCCTAACTTGACTAAGAATATTCGGAGGCCTGCACAATCGGGTCAGCATTATCGTCCAAACTATCCTGGCGGCTTTGCACTTGAGCGTTCGAGGTACGATATCACTACAGGTCCGAATACCCGGCTGTACAACCCCTCGGCATTGGATGACTTGACTTCGCCTTGGAATTTTGGCCCCTCTCCACCGGCGATCACATCCATGCCTACTACGCCACAATATATCCCTATAGCATCAAGGGCTTCGAGTGCGTCGACATTTTCTCAGAACTCATATCCGGCTACCGAAGCCGAGAAACGCCAGTCTGCCCGCGAATTATTTGAGCAGCACGGTATTAGGAGGCCACCCGGTTGGTTTTCTGACGATGAAGACCTCTCTCTCTTAGGCGATAGGACTGCCGGCCCTCGACGCTTCTGCAGAATCTGCCACGTCTGTTCTACGCGAACTTGGTCGCAGACTCATTGCTTATCTTGCCGCCATCGTTTATGCGAAAAATGCCTGTGCGAAGTCCCTACAAGCACCGAAAAGGAGCATAAGGCGTTTTCGCACAACCATAGCCATGTTACTACTAAACAAGATAACGCACAATATACTAGACAAACCTTGTTGACCCCGGAGGCTGGGCGACTATCACGGAAAAAATCACGGTCGTCTAACAGGACTAGCAATAATCGATCTGCTCAGAGTACGGCTTTGTATCAGTCATCTCATACGCATGCTCAAGGCAATGATGCAGCTGAACTACAGCCCGGAACCTGGAAAAGGGTAGACAATAAGACAGCGCAACTCGCGACTTTAGCTACGGATAATCATGCATCAAGAAGATTAGACTCCCCACCTGAGAGTTCATCTATTCGCTCAATAAAGCAAAATCCTTTCGTTGTTGACGATAAGGAGAAAGCAGAACCAACTACGGGATGCCGCGTTCCTGAGTCATCAGGTGTCCGACATTATCATTGCCAAATATCCGACATGAAGATAGGTAACAAAGATCATGAAGTACCTGATACCCACGTAGAATGTGATGACCCCATGTGTAGAGCAACACATGCCGGGTATTACCCGTATCGGCATAGTATCACTTGTGCTTTGCACCGAAGTGAAGAGGCTGAAAGGTCCGCAGGCTCAGCCAGGAGATTGCTAGTGTCCAACAAGGCTGCTATTGCTCATCCGACGAACCCGCAGCCAAGGAAAGATACGTTACAGCGTTTAGATGATATAGCTCATCGACGTCATTTGACAGGCCCTCAGACGTCCTATCATATTTCAGAGCATATTGCTGGTGATACTAGCCACGGAACTCGGCACCTACACAGTAATCGTGCGGGTCAACTTGTCAACGAGGCTGGATATGGCGCCAGGGACAAATGCCAAGAGTTCAGATCTACCGAGACCGAATACGCTTCCCATACCGATCGAGGGCACGATATTGCAGGCGAGTATGCCGCGGAAAATCGCGAAGCCCCTAGAAGAACGGATACATCAAATACGGCGAGAGCGAAACAAACTAAATGTGACATCAAAAGTAGAACATCTTTACCCAAAAGCCGTGTGTTCAGCCCACCATCATGGTTACAAGCGCCGAGTAAAGAAGCAGGCGATGCCAGGTCTAGACTGCGTCATATAGACACCGGGAACTACGTGCGTCCCCTTGACGTCAATATAATGAATTCGGGAGGAGGAAGAGGAACTCATTCGCGGAGCCCAGTTCGCGAGAAAGCCCCCGAAAATGGTCCGTCTAACCTGTCGGCTCACTCAAGCCACGACGTCCTACGGGTCTCTGCCCCATCTCCTCCAACAGCTTTGCATATCACGCAACACCAAAGACCAGAATCCTAGCAGGATCATCATTCGTCTCGACATATGTCGTCTAGGGCAAGCTTTGACGAGCGTGCCCATACAACAGCAACAACAGCAGGTACCACTACTTCATCACCAGCGGAAAACCGGCAGCCATCCTCGCACCGCAGACGTCGTCCAGCACACCTCCAAGTCGAAGATACCAACAGGTACTCGCGCAGCACGTACCGCAGCCCTCCGCCTGCTCGTTCGGACCTCTCCCGCTCGCAGCAGAGTCTAGAAAGTTCCAGACGCCCTTCTAGCGTCGCGCATGAACAGCCTCGGATCGGATCTGCCCGCCCCGAGAACGATCATCTGTCTGTCTACCCCCAAAACGACACCCGCACAGTACGTACGGGTAGCCGTTCTCCGTTGAGTGCGACAACGACGCGCGCTAGCCATTCGCCTCTGCAGCCACGGCGAATCTTACGTAGTGGTAGCGGTGGTGGTGGTAGTGGTGGCGGCAACGCGGACGATGGACGAGCAGCGTTCGTAAGCCGGAGCGCCGCCGCCGCCGCAGCAGCAGCAGGCTCGGGACTCGAAGACGGGAGGTGGGTATCGTCTGTCGCGGTCACGGGCGCAACTGCGACAGCGACTGCTACTTCGGAGTTCGAGCGGCTTCTTCACCGGCCGAACCCCATCGCGCCGCCGAACCACGACTGCAGCTGGAAGGAGCGCTACCTGGCGCTGACGGCGGAGATCCGGCTGCTGAAGGCGGAGTTGTCTACCAGGGCGTCCCTGAGGGGGCCTGATGTTGGGTATACGGGAGGGGCGGGGGATGGGGGGGTGAGGGGAGAAGCAGAGGATGGTGATGAGGGTGGTGATGGTGATGACTTGGGGATAGAAGGGGTGACGATCGTCGTGCATCTCAAGGGCAGAGATGATTTGGTTATTAATACGGACTTGACCCAGGCGGCTGAATAAGACAAGACAAGACAAGACAGAACAGGACAGGACAGGACAGGATGGGATGGGATGATGGCGAGGCTGAACGGCTAGGTACCTAGGTAGTTACGTAGGTAGTATTCAGTTCTTGGGACTAGAGGGAGGGGATAGTAGAGCACTACCTACCTAGGTAGGTAGCCCCACGGGGTAGGGTAAGATGAGGCTATAGTGTAGGTGATTTTGGGGACGGGGACGGGGACTATGGCTTAACGGCCTATATGGTAGGCGTAGGTGTTATTGTTAGAGCAGTATTCGGCTTCTTTGCAGCCTTTAATTAATAGGAATTAATATGAATTAATACTATAACTTCTAGTGGTAACTTGTCTGGGGAGCGTTGATTTCGGCTACCTATATTAGTATTTACGTGAAGTACGTGATTGAATAGCATCACTTTGGACTTCCTAACACAAGTTAACTCAGGTAAGGAAGCATCGTTACCTATAACCGAGAGAGGCGGCTATCTCATAGCTATATACCTCCCTAAGGTAGGTACCTAAGCTATACTGAAACTGAACTGGCTCACCGACGACGAGGCTTTCATTTTCATGTTGAATAGGACTTGGTAAATCCTACTGCTTACTTAGGTACCTTAGGTAGGTCTGTATCAAGTTCATCTCACGCCTAACCGCGGTAGTATTACGCACTTACCTTACTTTATACCTTGACTAATACCTTAGGTTAGGTAGGTACCTTTACTTACTTACGCGTGTACATACATCCCTACTAACGCCACTTGCCTTACTTGGTTCCTTTACCTTAGATACCTTAGGCACCTGGTATGTATGTACAAGTACGCAGGTCGGTAAGGTTAGGCAAGGTACCTACCTAGGTAGGTATATATATCCATAAATGAAAGATGAGAGACTCTAAATGAAGAAATACGGATTAGGGGGGAAGGGTACCGTGGACTCGGTACGTGGTTTCTTTTGTGCCGGAGGAACGCTACGATCTCTCGATTTGATGCTATGTAGGTACCTAAGGAAGACTTATGTACGTTGGAGGGGCGAGGAGAGGAGGGAAGGGAACAGATGGGGGGATGAATAGAAGTAGTGCTTGATGTAGACAACGGAAGTAATAAATGATGGTCTCTTCGTCCCGCTGTGTAAAGTGAGTGTCTGTGGTGAGAGTCGACGGCATGGTACAATACCGTAGGTGAACACCATCTTAGGGGTCGTGTCGGAGTTTGTTTCATTCTGTGTGAGAAGGATGGTGTCTATTGAACTTGTATATTGTATTTATTTCCACTATGTTATTTGTTTATATCTGCTTCAAGTGACCAGTATCGTCTCATGTAAAGGGGCTAGCCTATGGTCATCTCTTCCAACATAGACTTGGGAATTGTATTTACAGCTACGTATGCAACGTTATATCAGAACTGCCCACTAGGCACTCTCAAGTAGCTTAGGCGGTACAGTAAAACTTATGTTCCTGAAATTGTTATATTCCTTCTGAATACATGAAACATGCGACCGTCACTGTCACTGTCACTGTCATCTTTATCACGGCCGTGTAACTTAAGCACAGGCACCTCGGGGTTTGGATGTTTCTAGCGTACCTACCTGGCGAGGCAAAACACTGCGATGTACAGCATTCGCATACCCGCATTATATACGGGCTTGAAGTCCCCTATCAACATACACGGCTAGATAAGAGGGAGACATGGCTAAGAGCATTGTACATAGTAGGTCGTAAGTCATAGGTTCCTCTAGATCTAGATTTACCCGAGAAAACAAAAAGGCTCAGTATTGCGTGCCAATCCCAGCGTTCCCAGCCTTCATTGCGAGGAGCAGGGACCCGTGTTTTGAAGCGAGTTTGCTCTGGTACTCTGGTAACCCGGAATGTCTCTGTGCGCACGGCAGAAGGTTATGGTCTAGACCAACTTCCCATGTGGTTGCTATGAAGTAAACTCATTTGGTGTTACCGCCATTATATTTCTGTGCTCTATAATAATATAGATCCGTTGGATACGATAGAATTCATTATAATGCGGGGATGGTCTAAATAGTAAATTGCACGTTTTATATTAGGTTTATCTCAGAATAACTTGTTTATTCGAACGTCGAGTACTATTTTGAGCGTTGTTCTGTTAGTATCGTTAGAGGAGCAAGCTCTCTTCGCGTTCGTGATATTTTCGCTACCGCGTACGTAGTACCTACCTAATGTAACGCAGGTAACCTCTACATGCGTGGTACAATGAATCTAGGTGATGAATACAAAAGCATACAAAAGCACTACTAGCAGCTTCAGAGCCTGGTACAAGTTTCGGTCGTCTAGATGATATCAACTAGTAGACGCTCTAGAACACTATAGACACAACCCCCTAAACAGACGTTTAGCATCGCGGCAAGTAATTGCGAAAGAAACGTACCTACACATTTGGGTAGTACTAAGACATGAAGTTGTTCCGGCAGCCACTGAGACGATCTATTTCCGAGTTTGTTTTGTCATGTCGTAGATCAGCCATATAAGAGATCGGGCGAATAAGGAAGCATCAATAGTGTCGATATGAATCACACTTCAGCTCTCTAAAATACCCGACTCGAAGGAAGACATGAAGAAAATAAGCTGAGTCGTGTTATAATAGAACCTACCTAACCTAACCTAACCTATGGTGTATATAGTAGCTGGAGTGTATGGTTGACTTCGTCTCACATTTAGACATGCATACATTACAGTATGCTAGACGTCCGAGGTAAGGTCCAAAATTGTGACATTAGGCACTACCATCATGCGAGCCTGATCCTCGTAGGCTTAATTTGTCTAATGCTAGGTATCTACCTAGGTATGTAAGCTTTCCCGCCAAGTGGATAAGAATCTTGCCGGATTTGCGTTATATCTGTTTGCTAAGGGCGGGAGAATCGTTTTTAATAATGCCAAGGTGACGTCCACGAGCAATAAGCTTTGCCAAGTTGCCAAGTTGCCAAGATAACGTTCATCGGAGACGGGAACCAAGCAATTCTTTGGGTTCTTGGCGATGGAGCGCCGAGAACACAGCAAAGATCGCGGGGTAGTGAGCTAAATTTTTCTTCTTTTATTCTCTCGCATTGGAAAAGGAGATCTGATGTTTCTTATTATTCTTAGAGATGCTTCTGACGTTGCTAAGCTTTGTGGTTCACGCGCCACACAGATCGGTTCAGGGGTGAAAACCAGGTGATGCTTTGAGAAAAGTACCCAATGCCTGAGGTTGAATATTAATTTTTAAAGTAATAACGGACGTCCTCGTATTCTTTTTCTTTTTTCTTCTTTTTATATAGCTTTCGATGCGGTCCAATAATCCGAACCGGAGGAGAATGTCCGACTTATCTGGATATCCATCGCAAATTCATACTACATAGGTTAGGTAGTAACTGCGGCGGGATTTCGCTCGTCACAAACCTGCTGCAGCATTCTTCGCCCGTGGACCATCATACTGTACCTACCTAACCTACATAGTAGTATATGTTACGCTATGTCTCGTAACCAGCGAAGAATCGCCGAATGGGTGCTACATTACGCAGTGACACCCTACATAGTACGCACATCTATCTTCTCAATTCCGGCTGAAGAGAATGTACAAAGTCGCTTTCGCTTTACTTGCCGTTCCTGGTAGGCAATCAAAATCCATCCATGTGGCCTTTTCTCATCCGTCCGACCATACAGCTATATCACGTACATGTTTATTATAAATGAATGTATGGGGCATTACGTCTGAGCGGGCGAGAACTCCGTGCGTCGGCCGTGTGTCTGCCGTGTGTCTACCGCCTGTTTCGCCTGTTTCGCCTGTTTCTGCGAAACGTGATGCGCACGCACACACACACACACCGGCACTTCATTCTTAGAATGTCATGGTTTCTGAATTTGATCGGATCTTTTCCGGGAACCGCCGGAATGTTGGGCTAGCCAGACTTGATTCTTACGAAATTTTCAAGTCAAAGGAAATATTCGGTCATTTCTTTAAGAACGGGATGATCGAGGTGAGTGAGATGTTGAGGATAACTTTTCAAGTCTGGAATTAATAACGACGAATGAAGGTGGGGGAGTGCATCACAGTGTCAGGACTCGATAATCGCACTATTACAGAACCTACGGGATGGTGGTTCGGTTAGCACAATATGTTGCACTACACAGTGTGGACCGATCTTCTTTTTAGCTCGTCCCCCTCGTGTCCCTTCTAGCGATGCACGTCCTAAACACCTTCTGAGACGGGTACAATACGCGGGTACAATACATTAGCCTCTTAGGTTAGGTACTACCTAGCAGCCTAGGTAGGTTTCTTTAAAAGTTAAGGGAGGTCGGCTCCACTAATTACAGGTAATCGAGTTTCTGCCAACCAATCCGGCCCATCCCATCGGACCCCGGCAGCCCATCTCAAATACTCAATCAAGTACCTTACCTTAGGTAATGTACCATTTATCTGCTTTTCCCCACTTAGCAGGGGTCGAATGCGATGGGCGTTCAGGCAAGTCCTTTTGGCCCTTTTGGCCCTTTTGGTCATTTTGGCCTGCTATTGCCCACCCCCGACCAACCGTCTCGTTGGCTTCCTGTTGGCTTCCCATCTCCCGTTTCTTTTACAACTTCTGGGCGCCCAGACATCAACCTCGAATCTTAGAAGAGCGACGAAAATCATCCCGGCTAGCGAACACGAGCGAACCATTTTGTTTAATACAGAGTTTTAAAAACGATTAAAAAAGAGGAGAGAATTGAATTGACGGAAGGGGATTATAATTGGAAGAAGGATTCGTCATCGCGTGAAAATCGTCAGTCTTGGGCGAAATCGAGAGTTTTATTGCCGCGCATTCAACAATACTCGACCGACTCAACCGACTCGACTACCTAACACGGGCCCGTCGCGTTCTCTAAGCCCTCGTAGGCTATCCCTATTCCATGGCGAATGCCTCGCGGTAGCATCGCAAGTGCCTGAACGTCGTCGCCTAGCGACTGGCTGCTTGTTCGCCCCTCAATCATGGGTTCGCATTACTTTCGGCAGCCCAGGGTGGCTGCTACGGCGACTTTGACTCTAGATGCTTCTTGCACCCCTTATACCCTCCCCTCGAGCGGTCTATTGCACATCCCCGGAGCCGAACCGACCTTTTTAACTGCCAACGCCGTGTACTCGCCTCTCTGCACCCCTACCCCCCTCCCTCAACCCGCTATCATCGCCAATGGAGCCTTCGATTTGGACCAAACATCATCGGATTCCGGTCCCCAATTCTCCGACTTTCGCGATCCTTTCTACGCTTCGATATTTCCTCAATGTTATGCCCTCGCTGCCACGACCGTTCTTGCTTATCTGCTTCTAATCATGCTTGTTATTGCGCCTCGATCCTTTCTTGATGGAGGGGTTGTCGTTTTAGGCCGACGTGGATTTACGAATGGACCTTCAAATGGTATTAGCATTGGGGGACGTCCGTGGTTACAGAAGGTCGCGGCTTTAACCGTCGCTATCTCTCTATCCATTGCTACAGCGGATACTTTCCGCGTAGCTGAAAAACAGTATGCGTTGGGAATTCAGAACGCACAGCAACTCCAGGAGGATGTGCTGGGAGGAACCCAGTTGAAGGCCATCCAGCTTATCTCCGATACGTTCCTTTGGCTGGCCCAAGCCCAGACACTTATACGATTATTCCCCCGACAGCGCGAGAAGGTTATCATCAAGTGGACGGCCTTCTCCCTCATTACCTTGGACGTTATTTTCGGTGCCCTTAATAGCTTCCATTATACCAAGCAGGGAAACACTAGGCCACGCAGTTTTACGGATGCTGTGCCAGCGCTTAGCTATTTATTTCAACTATCTTTAGGCCTGTTATATGCTGCGTGGGTGCTCTATTATTCACTCATGAAGAAGCGATATGCCTTCTATCACCCCCTCATGAAGAATATTTGCCTAATGGCAGCTCTTTCCATAATATCAATTCTTGTTCCCGTCATCTTCTTCGTCCTCGATATAGCGAAGCCCGAATTCACTGGATGGGGTGATTATGTTAGATGGGTCGGTGCCGCTGCAGCAAGTGTTGTGGTATGGGAGTGGGTTGAACGAATCGAAGCCTTGGAACGGGAAGAAAAAAAGGATGGAGTGTTAGGCAGGGAGGTTTTCGACGGTGACGAAATGATGGAAGTATTTCCCTCGGATCTTTCGTGGTCTCGGCGGCGAAAGAACAAGAGAAAAAGCGAGGAGGATGATGATGAGGGGGAAAGTGGTAACAGTTCAGTATCAAGTAGTCGAGGCAATATGTGGCCGGCCATGTCATCCATCGCTAGCCGATATAGGTCGAGGACGGAGGATAGTCCGGATGGGAAGCAGCAAGCTACTACGACGGGCAGGTCGGCCACACGGTTTTTACAACCTCCATTATGGCCGTCTCGACCGCCTCCAGCAGTTACGCCGGTAAGCAGGACGGATACTGCGAGCGCTGATAGCACCGTTTATGCGGTGCGATACCAGCCCCTTACAGAGACGACTTCGAGGACTACAGACGATAGGCACGGTCGACCCTTGTCTAGAAGCAATAGTGCGACCTCATCCGCATCAAGTCCAGTAGCAGAAAGCAATGAGCAGCCTGGGAACATACCGCCATCACAACAACTCTCATCAGCGCGCGCAACGGAAAGAAACAAGGGGGCGGAAGGGCATTCGAGCCGCTGGAATTACTTGAACCCATTCCAGCGTGCTGCAAAAGAGCCCCCGGCGGAGGTTCTTCCACACACGATGCCTAAGCAACCGAAGCCTCGGCGTAATTACGAAAGCACTGGTAGATGGGACTTTAGGGGACGGGTAGAAATGTTTGCCGCCACCCAAGCAGAGAGAATTCTAGAAAGGATTCGGCCAACTCCCGATACGGATAGCTTACCAGTGACTGTCATACCCGCGCCTCCGCGTCGCGGGGCAGCTCTCGCCCAACTATTGGAGGAAGAGGAACTACAAATAGAGGCACATGGGCAACGAATATCGGCCTCCTCGCCACCAGCGCATTCGCCAAGGAGTACGACCGGACCCAGGCCACATTTGCACCACGTATCTAGACATAGTAGTACGGCATCAACCGCACCCAGGCCGAGTCTAGGTCCAGCGGAAAGGAATAGCCCATACGCTCATAGGCCGCTTAATACGCGCGATACCAACTCGTCGACGACCCCAACTTATAGGAATGGTGGCGACCAACGAGAAAGAACTACCAGCGAAAGGCGACCAGTGGACGATATACTAGGCGATGACTACCATGCATCATCGCCTGTGTAGACATTTCCGATCCAACTCTATCGAATCTTGCTGTGATGTAATGGTAGCGTGGCGCTTGGGGTGCTTGTTTTGTTTTGGTTGCATTTATACGGGCGCATTGGGTTTCAAAGGGGCAGAGAATAGCGGATATCTGACCAAACATTATCATGGCCACTTACCGCTGGTTTGGTCTGTTGCAATATATCTGTATTGATGGAGTAAACTTACACGAGTATAACCAGCGTACTCGACAAGGCGGGCATTGGGCCGCTGTATATAGGAGCATCTTCGGCATTTTTTTCACTCGGATTATGAGTGGGAGCATCGACGGCGCATTTTGGCATTGACCAGCGAAATGAATGAAGGCTATTAGTGGAGAAGCTTTTCATCGAAACGATGTTAGTTTAGTTATAACATTAGGTACCTGTAGTTAGCATGTAGTTACATTAACTACCTACCTACCTATGTAACATTACCATGATTTGCCGCAAGGTATCCGGGTCATGAAATATGAAGCCAATAAGGTATCGTCATCATCTGTCAAATTTGTTTTAACTCTATCACATTTGACTCAACTTATTCGGTAACTTGTCATAATTGAGTTAAGGTGAATTTAATGATAGCCTTTAATGTATAGCATAGTTTGGATTATTGAATTGTGCTTTCTATGCTTCCTATAAGAGTTCCTATATTTCCTATGGTGTTTACTTAGTTTAGCGGTGAGTTACTACTTCAGGGTGGATATAAGCCGCAATTACGTAGGAGACACGTGTAAGAAGGTCGCACCGTGAAATCCCCATCCGACGCTATGCACATCTGATAGGTATTCACACACACATCGAGAGAAGCAGAAAAAAAAGGAGAACGCAGAAAGTTATGCTGAATATTGAATACCTACTCTCTCTGTTCGAGCAATGCGCCGGTGCCTCGGTCGAGATTCAAGCCCGCGGAAGCCGAATAGGGGACATATGTATTCTGCAGTATTAAGTAATGCTTCTTGGCAAGGGAGAAAAGGACCAATGATAAATCACAAAATGGTAGCTGGACCCCTTCTCGCTAATTAAAAGGTAACGGCTACGGAAATCATATGCTTGCCCCGCTATGCGCTTCTGGCAGAACAAGGGTCTAAACTTAAAAAAAAAAAGTTTTATTTTGCTGTTTATTCTTCCTTAACGGGGCGTAGTCGTAGGTAGTCCGTCAACTGCTAATCTGGCAATCTGGTTATCAAACCTATAAAAACTTATCAAATCTCATGCAAAGCAACTGGGCCATTGGCATTGGCAACTGGCAACTGGCACTACTTTTTTTTATTTTTATTCCAACTACCTCTTCCTTTCCCTCCTTCTCCAACAACTAAAACCTCACTTAGTTTGGATTGCTTTCACTCCTTAAGCATCCCCGAAATCAACTACCTAGGCAGTCGGGATCGTTAACGAAGGAAATACCAATTAACGGTATCCTCACGTCATCTGCTGCGTGTCTTATCGTCGCAGTCCTCTTTTTATTTTTATTTTTATTTTTTTATTCGTCTTCCCGCGATAGGATCAACTTCTGCGACAATGGCACCTCCGGAACCTTTCCCTATCCTCAATAGTTCGGTCGAACAATTGCATTCGGGAGCAGATCACGGAAATGCGCGTCGTCGTAGGAAGTCGAGCGTGCTCGGGGCGGACATCAGGGTAGGAGATACGGGCGCACCTAGTCTGCAATCCAGCCTCGAGAGCTTCCAGGAGACACATGGACACGCACAAAAGCCATCCACACCGGATGGCAAGGAAGTTTCCAAGAGGGGTTCCAAGCGTCGCAAAGCTCGCTCCTTTTTGCGTCGCTGCAAGCACTTCGCTCTGAAGCACACTTGGGTCCTACCTCTAGTCCTCCTAGCCGTCTTCCTGTCCTTGTATGCCATCAATCCGACCGAATCGAACCCTATACATCACTTCATTTTCCTCTCCTATAAGCTCCCTCTCGAGGATGGCGCCGACCCCGACACGCCCCCCCAATATGGAAAGGGACCCTGGGATGTCGCTTTGGTCGCTTTCTACACCGTCGTCCTGTCCTTCACCCGCGAATTTATCATGCAAGAGCTTCTCCGTCCGCTAGCCAGGAAGGCAGGCTTAAAGTCGCGCGCCAAACAGGCGCGTTTCCTGGAGCAGATGTATACCGCCGTCTATTTCGCGTTTCTGGGTCCGGCCGGTATGTACGTCATGAGCCGAACCCCTGTATGGTACTTCAACACCCGCGGCATGTACGAGAATTTCCCTCACAAGACTCACGAGGCTGCCTTCAAGTTCTACTACCTATTCCAGGCTGCCTACTGGGCTCAGCAGGCTATTGTTCTGCTGCTCGGTATGGAGAAGCCGCGCAAGGATTACAAGGAGCTTGTCGGCCACCACATCGTCAGCCTGATGCTTATCGGACTCAGCTACCGCTTCCACTTCACATACATAGGATTAGCTGTCTATATCACCCACGACATAAGTGACTTCTTCCTCGCGGTAAGTGTTCTAATTCATTCTATTTCCCTCTAGCCCTTTAAGTTCCTCCCGTCCAGTACTAATAAATGGCTCGAACAGACATCTAAAACTCTCAATTACATCGATCACCCTCTGGTGGGACCTTATTTCTTCATCTTCATGACCTCGTGGGCTTACCTACGTCATTACCTCAACCTGCGCATTATCTACTCTCTATTCACCGAGTTCAGGACCGTCGGACCTTACGAGCTCAACTGGGAAACTGAGCAGTATAAGTGTCAGCTCTCTTTCGTCATCACTCTGGTCCTCTTGTCGTCTCTGCAGGCTCTCAACCTGTTCTGGTTCTTCTTCATTGTGAGGATCGCCTACCGCTTCATCGTCTACCAGGAAGCAGACGACGACCGGTCTGAAGCTGAAGAGTCCGACGTGGAGGAGCAGGAGAATACGACGGCAGAGAAACCAAAGGCAATCAAGCAAAGCACCGAGGCTGTACCGTTACTCAACGGCAATGCTAACGGAAATGGCATTGCGAACGGTGTTAAGACCCGATCAAACGGGGCAGCGTCGGCATCGAAAAAGAAGGCTTCTCGATAGGAGACTCGCTAACTTTTTTGCCTTCCATTCATAACATTCGCTTGTAAAAAATTAATCAGTAGGGGGGGCTTGTATGTACAACAACACGATACGGCATTTCAGCATATATTGCGGGCGTAGAGGAGACTGCTGGTGACCTGCTGGAATTGCTATATACGCAGCTCCTTACGAGAATAGGGTACCAGGAGGCACGCCCAACACCTTGCTACACGATCATAGGCACGGGCGTTCAGAGAGAATGGGGTTTAAAATCCCAAGCCATTCGCTCACGGGGTCATGGGAACGGCGCATATGGGGGGAGATTTCTTTTGGTCGCTTGGGTACGAGATGAGCACGAAAGGAAGCCGTTGATCTATGTCGGATGATGGGAATACGTTGGGACCAATATGCCTGGAGCGCTCGGCTTTTCAGGAACGGGCTTTGCTACTACCACATGCTTGGGATTAGGTGCTACGAGAGCTGTCTCGCTGACTTTAATGTACTGATGACGGAGAGGTTGGACCTACCTACGGCTTGGCTTTTGACCAACAACGAAGCAATTGGCATCATGAGAAGAGAGAACATTTTCTCTGGTCCTTTTCTTTTTTATTCTTGTCTCCTCCTCGTCTTCTTCTCTTACCCGCTTCCTACGCACGATAGTTTTCAAACCTCATACCCAAAACCAGAACTAAAAACTTCCTCCCCCTCTTATATATACCTATATAAATAAATAATTCTTAATAGAAGACGGATGAACGGGATAACCTAGACGAGGGCGGGTCCGAGGTCTTTGTTTGAGGTCTTTGTTTACGAAAAGTAAAAGGGACTTAGGATCCGCCTTCCCCCCCTTTCGTTTTAAACTGTATCGTCTCTTACCTACTTAGCCTTGTGTAGCTGATACGTTTTGTTCCTCCGGCTTTGAGGTTTGGCTTATGTTCTTTTTAAGCATGTGTGTGTGTGTACGTACGTCCCATATGCGACGCACATGTGCAGCTAGTACACCCGCTGGACTAACTCGTTGTGTATATACTACGGTTATGTAAGTGGCCTCGTTAATGGAGCATAGATAGATAGAATCGGGTACGTATAAGGTACCTAGAGGCCTTGTAATAGGAAAGTCACGATGAATGATACGGGGCAAAGGAAGAAGAGGGGGGCAGCGGTGGTCCTCGGGCCTCACCTTGTCTAGCCTTTCTTTTTTTTTTTTTTTCCCTTACCCTGGCTTCTAGGAGCTGAGCGACTTTTCTTCTTCTTCTTCTTCTTTCTCCGCCTTCTTCCCTTCACCGCAAAACCTGCTCCTCCTCCCCACCGTCCGTCCGTCCGTCCGTCCGTCTGTCTTGTCTGCGCCGTCCCAACCACGTGTTCTCCGTTCTCGGATACCGCCGACCAACGGACCGACTACCTAACTTACTACTACTACTGCTACTATTACTACAACTGCGTTTTGTCCGCCTTTAGGTTGGGTACCTAAGGTACCTAGTCAAAGTCCTTAGGACTTAGCACATACGTAACTAGCACTTATTATAGACACTAGTTAAATCGTATCGTACGCCGCCGCCGCCGCCTCAGTTCCATACACGTGTCTGTCCGCCTAATCTGTCCGTCCACCTAATCCACCCACCTAAACCTAGCCTAGCCTAGCCTAGCCTAACATATCCTAACATATACTGCCTAGGCTGACTGACTGACTGACTGACTGACAAAGCAGCTAGATAAACAAGATACTCGTGGTAATAGTAGGTAATCAGTAAGTTTTAAACCGAACCCCCAATATAGTATGTGCGGGTACCTAGGTAGGTACCTAGATTCCTCTGTCGAAGAAGTTGTGTCCCGACCACCAGGACCTCGGGAACGAAAGAGAACGGGAGAAGAAAAAAAAAATCTAGCTGGGCCCTGAGGGTCTCCGGATACAGGTACCTATTCTGCTCCACATCATACTCTTCTTAGGTAGTGTAGTGTAGTCTAGGGTAGGTAGGGAGTTTGTACCTAAGGTATTAATAAAAGTTCCTCGGGCTGGGGCTGGGGCTAGGTGTGACTTTTTTTTCTTCTCTTTCCGTTTCAGGTTATTCAGCTTCTGGAATATTTATTCCCTGGGGCGCAATGATAGGTATATTGTTTCTCGGCCGAGAGCCCCGTCCGTTCCGTGCCCTCTCCTATGCACACATGTACTATGTATGGATAGATTGATGTGGATATGGATTTGTGTAGGTACCTAGGTAGGCATGTAAGAGGTACGTTAGGTATGAATGGTATGTAGGTATATACCGCACGAGACCGCGGACGATCTGAGCGGGATGGGCATGGCGTGGGCGTGGCGTGACAAGGGACCCTTATACGGAAAGAAGAAGAAAAGAAAAAAAAAAATCTCGAAAAAAGGAACTAAAGCAAGGGAAGCAGGAAGAGAAGATGAGGGTCCGTTCTCAAGCCGGGACTTTTGTTTTTCGGGTTGGTTTTTTTTCTTCTTCTCGTGATGTTGTTCATATGCAGCTTACACTATTCTGTATCCCGTCTCATCTTCTAGCGGCGATAATATCTACTAGGTAGGTAGGTAGGTAGGTAGGTAGGTAGGGTAATTACTTGGTAGTAGTATGTGGCTTCTCTCCATCTCCATCTCTCTCGCTCACCTTGACTAAAACCCTTACCTTACTTTACCCGTCTTTCACCTTCACCCACACCGTAACATCGCTCTGCTCGTCATTCATTCATACATCCACCCGTCGTCTGGTAATTATTCTCTCCTATTCTCCGTTCCCCAGTTCCCACGCTTTGCTTGCTTACTTGCTTGCCCGCTTGCGTACTTTGCTTTTGCTTGTTTGCTTGCTATCCCCCTCCCCCCCCCGTCTACATCACATCGCATCACATCGCATCACACACTTAATCTCACGCCCTTCCCCAGCCCCCTATCCCCATAACTGTCACTGTCACCGTCACCTCGCCCACATAATGTACGTAGTCCCCATCCATCCACCCTACCCAAGCAGAACATGAACAAGCAACGTTACAAGGGAGATCCCATCCCCATCCCCATCACGATGCTACCGCCTGCAGGTACGCGCGTTCGTCTGACGCCCACTATACCTATGCCTATCCTAGGTATAGGTAGGTAAGGGGTGTGTCAGTAAAAAAACAGAGACGACGAAAAATTCTCGAAAAATACAACCTTACCAAGAATTACTAGTAAAGGGGGTACGTAGTAAAGGGGATTATTGGGTCTATATATATATATATTAGCCTTGATGGCAGATCTCCCGCTTTGCCGGCATCGAAAGAAAAAAAAATCAATAACGCGAGCCGCACGCGAGCTGTAACCGAGACAATCCCGGGTGCGGATGGGGCGGGTAGGTCGGGTCGGTGGTTTTAAGATCAGGGGTGGGTGAGTGGTTGGGTGATAGAAAAAAAGAAACAGGAAAAAAGAAAAGTAACATTTGGTATAGTAAGGGTTACACCAAGACTGCAACGTCGTCCATCAAACTGATACGCAGCCTAATTATGAAATCTTCAGCCTCACATACTCACATACAACCTTTCCTATAGTACCTAGTTGAGCGAGAAGTTATTCATTACGTCAGGTAGGTAGGTAGGTAGGTAATCTAGCACACACTCCCATGTAGATGTCAGAAATAAGCTGCTTCCGGTATTAACAGTCAGTCCATTGTGGATGGGGTGTAAAGCCACCTATAGGGTCTAGCCATTTGCAAATACACTGATTCCGCTTCCCCCTCCCTTACCGCAAATCCTCGTCTCTCGTCTCTCATCGCACGCCTGCTAATGCTGCCTGTCATCGTCTCATTAAGGTGGTACTCCGCCCACCGTTCGAAAAAGCCAATAACAAACCCGACTGACTTTGATCCGGACCAGAAAAGTAAAAAATAAAATGGATGTGTGAAAAAAGAAAAAAAAATGCAGAAGCACTCCCCCCTCCCCCCCCCCTCCCGACATTGGTTTGTTTCCGTATCCTTTCCTTCCTGTTCCATCCCGTCTTTGCCCCAAATTTTTTTTTTTTTCATGCAAAGGGCCATGACCATGACTGATCGTCTGCCGTGCGAACAACGATAGCGAATTAAATAAGACGGAATCACATGAGTCTTTTGGTATCGCCGCGAAGTATCGTGATAACCGGAAATGCAAAGCCACTGATAGCCTCCCATGTAGAGGCGTCTTTTTCTGTATATGCCACCAAACGCCATGTTTAATGCAGCACCCGGTAGCCCGGGTGCGTGAGAAGCTCATTAGGCAATAAAATTATATATCGCGGAAAATGGGAATATGGACATGAATCGAGCCCGAGTCAGTTGTGCAGTTGTGAACATTAGAATTAGTGGGTCGATCGAGGGGAGCCTTCAACCGGCGTCGTAGAATCGGACTGACTACCATGTCGTCCGAGAGTAACAGACTCATCGGACGAGCTGCTCGAGTCGTCATTGTTAGAGTGCTCATTCCGGTTGTGGTGGTCTCCCGGAGGAGAAGGGATATTAGCCTTTCGCAAAAGCTTTTCAGCCTTACGCGTCGCATTACGTGCGTCCTCGGCTGCTTTTTCGGCCTTTGCCTGGCGATTCCACATAGATGCGTATCGACCATTAAGCTCAAGAAGCTTCTCGTGCGTTCCCTTCTCGACGATAGTTCCTTGATGCAGAACAAGAATTTGATCTGCGTGGGTAATAGTAGATAGACGATGTCTGGATTCGGTTAGCTGGTCTCTCTTTTTTTATTATCATTAAATATTATAAGTGTAGGAACTTACGCGATGATTAGCAACGTACGGCCGCGGCCGATGGTAGCTAGTCGGGACTGAATCTGTTGCTCCGTGTGGCTATCAAGAGCCGATGTAGCCTCGTCCAGCATGATAATTTTAGGATTCTTAAGCAGGGTTCGGGCAATCGCAACCCGCTGCTTCTCACCGCCACTTAAGCGAAGGCCTCGCTCTCCGACCTTGGTGTTATAGCCGTCGGGGAAAGACATGATCCTGTCATGTATGCTGGCGGCTTGACATGCGGCAATAATATCGTCGTCGGTCGCATGCTGGTTGGCGTACCTCAGGTTGTACATGAGGGTGTCGTTAAATAATACCGTATCTTGCGGCACTACTCCTATGTAGCGTCGAACAGAATCGATAGTGACATCCTTAATATCGCGCCCGTCTATTTTAATGTTACCCTCCTGGCAGTTGAAGTAGCGATACATTAGTCGGAAAAGGGTAGATTTCCCGCCACCGGACTCGCCGACGAGCGCCGTAGTCGTGCCGGGCTCACATGTGAAGGTGAGATTCCTAAGCGCAGGCTTCCTCTTGTCGTATGCGAATTTGACCTTAGAAAATTCGACACGGCCTTCACACGAAGTGACGTTAGCGGCGCCTGGACGATCCACCACCGTCGGACGTTGCTTGAAAAGCTCCAGGAGACGCTCCCCGGATATCATGGCTTGCTGGACGGTACGGTAGAATGTGCCGAAGAAGTTGAGTGGACCCTGGAGCTGGCTCAGGTAGGTCATCAATGTAACAAAGTCACCTACTTTTCGGGTGCCCATTGTTACCTGATATGACCCAAGCATCATGGCAACCAGCATCCCTATCATAAAAACCAACGACTGGCAAATGTTCATCGTACTTATACTCCACGTAACCTTGGCCTCGGCGACTTGGAAATTGTTTATGGCCTCTCTATAACGATTGAATTCGAAGTCTTCCGCGTTGAAATACTTTACCGTCTCGTACGAGATAATGGAGTCATTCTTGACTGCCTCTTCCTCCCTGTCCGCGTTGGACATGGCTCGCCTCTGGTCGGCGGTCTTAGACGCCATTCGTATTGTCAAAAACAAATAATAGAATGTGATTGCGCAAACGATGACAGCATATACGGCATCAAACCTGACGTAAAAGTAGCTGATAGCAACAAACAAGTCGATGAGCATCGGAAAAACTTGGAATGTAACTTGCTCGAGGAAGGAGTTGACCGAAGAGCCCTTGTTCAACGCTGATAAAACCTCGCCGGTCCTTTTTCCTAGGTGGAAATCGAGGCTTAGGGAATGCACGTGCTCGAATGCGGATGTGGTAAGAGCTCGATACGTGTGCTGAGAAACGGGAATCCATAGCAGAGATCTCAAAGATCCTAAAAGCCCAGACGGGCCCTGCAGTAGCTTATACAGAATGAGCAAGCCGAGCGGGAGCCACGGCATCGTACGCTTCTCGCCATCCTTCAGATCATCTCCAGAGAGCTGGTTGGTGACCGTACCGATCTGGTAAGGGACCATAATATTCACCCATCGCTGCAGAGCTAATAGAATGAAACAGATTACTACAATAATCTGGAGCCGCAGTTGCTTATTAGGCCACATGTACGGGAAAAAAACGGAGTAACCACGAAGATACTCAAACCAGGTGGTATGCGGTAGCTTTTCCGGACGGTAAAACCCGGCATCTTCGTCAACCATGGGGTGGCTCGCATCGGCAGTGCCGTTAGCGTTACCGTTGGCGGCGCCGTTTGCGCCCGGGTGAGAAGCATGTCCATTGGTGCGGTAGCCATTAGCGTCGCCATTCAGGAGTGGCGTGGATTCGTCAGCTTCGTAATGATATTCCTGCCCTTGCTCGTATTTTTCCGGCTGCTCCCGGGTTCTTATAAGGATAATGGTATAATAAACTAGGAGCATACCGACCAGAATAGCGATTCTTCCGAGTGATAGGCCGAGGTCGACCATATCCCACTTGTTAAGGCCGCTTACAATCACGTATTTTTGACGATTGAGATTGACCATGAGTTTATGGGGGCCGGATAAGACTACCGCGTCGCAAACGAAGATGATGATTTCCCCAATAAGCGCAAAGCTCCAAGTGAGGATATGAACCAGGCTCGGGCTACTTTTCCAGTCGAACATCGTCAAAGTCCAGTACACATAAAGAAATGCCGATCCGAGCACAAACACCTAACATTTTATCAGATTAACAAAAGAATATCCCGACGTAAATAGATATTTTAGGAAATAGAGCATAAGATAAATAAATAAATAGAAAGTAGCTTACAGTTTTCGGCTCGCCGCACCACCAGCCATGTTCGCCTTCCGCGTCCCTGTGGATCAAGGCACGTGTAGCAATTGCACCGCCCATAGCAATAAATGTCGAGGTCGCTACAATCATAGAATACTGGAAAAACCTCCTAGCATGTGGGCTGAATTTTTCAGGTTCCGACGCGTCGTCGTCGGACAATCTCCTCTTGGTGACTGGTAGCGGCTTGCCGCCTGGGCCTCGAACAGTAGGTGCAACCACATCCTCCTTACGCATAGCGGTGTAGACGGAGTGGGTAGCGCCGACAACAATGAAGACAAACAGAAGGAGGTCCGGGTAAAGATACTGAGTGATGTCTCGAACCCTCTCCGCCAGGGAGTCGGGAGGGTTGATGATGACTTCCGCCATCTTGCTCTGTGAAACGTGCAGGTCAGCCATAAATGTTCACGGGTGGTAAGTAAGAGAAGGGCACAAATGGGACTCGAGCATTGCACTGCATGCTGCAAGGCGTGCTTGACGTACATATTACTGATGACAATGCTTGTACTGGGTCATTGCCGCAGACACACACGATCACAACCCCCAATTTCTTCAAGCAGTAGAGCCCGCAACTGCCTGACTGCGATGCCTTTTTGGATGCTTGCCTACGGCAGCGGGTGATTTTCAAGAAATCAACAAGAAATTGAAAGTCAAGTGTTCTAAAGCTCGGCTCAAGTTAGTGTAATCCCGAGTCCATGTTCTGGTGGGGCAGGTCACCAGACGGTGTTAGTGGCGAAAGCCACAACTCTGGAGCAGACTGACTCGAGACTAGCGTACCTAATAAAAGAAGGGAAAAGGGAAAGAATTAAGGGTCTGTCTGATCCGAGGTGATCCCGTCTATGAGAGTGAGAGAGGGAATCAAGCAAGTGACCAGAGCTTGTTGCTCGGTTCTAGCCAGGATCTGCGCCAGGGGGGGGTTGAATTATAGGTGACCCTTTGGATGGCACGATTTTATTAGGGATCCAAACAAACAGCAGTCGAGCACGATAGGCTCAGTTCGTTGCTGTATAAGGATGGGGTACAATGAAGTGGATAACTCTATGCTCTGACTGGAGGAGGGGGACGATGTGAGAAAAAAGTCAATTGCAAACGAGCGTATATTTCTAATTGAGAAAATAAATAGTAAGGTAGTTAAGAAAGGAAATTCAAAATAAAGATTCGTTTTTAAAAGCGAAGTGTTGTCGTAGTAGGGAAAGGTCGGAGGATCTTCTTCTCAAGCGGCAATCCTGCCGCACAAGAGGACCGAAGAATGAAAGGCGTAAAAGTAGATTCTTGACCAGGGATCCGTATGAACGGGGCTAGGTAGCAACAGGGACAGGAAAAGGTGGGATTGTGCCTGGTCTTGAGTACCCAAAGTGTCAAATTGACCCAAATTCAGATCAGGTAACCCGAACCCAGGGTAAGAGGGTGATAGATCCTTGTTTAAGAGGTAGGGCGGTAGAGACTGGAATGGATACAATATTGTAAAGCTAGTAAGGGCTAGCGTTACTTGAACAGGGACGGGGGGACTGGCTTGTTAGAAAAATGTAAGAGGATGGAGGGATGTTGTATGGTTTATGAGAAGGGAAAAAAAAAAAAGAGTTGAATCGTGATAGTGATGATGACTCTGATAGTGAGTAAAAAACTATGATTATGATTATGACAATGGACAATGGCGAACGAGATACACACATACACATACGCACACTCACACTCATACACACTTTTTTTTTTCCTTTCAAGGTAGTGGTGGTAAGTAAGTGAGTGGTAAGTGGCTGTCAGTTAAACAGCGGTTGGTTGTGGTTGGTTATGGCTGTTAGTTGGTAAGAAGGGTGGTGCGAGCAAGAGCGACGATGTGGGTGGATAGGATGGTAGGCCGGGCTTCTAGACCCGAACTGGTTGATGCAGGTTGATGGGGAAAGCTCGACAGAAACAATGATGAGCTGTCGGTAGTCACGGTAGCCACGGTGGGAGTCGCCGTTGCGGGAATGATGGAGGATTTCCCTAGTTTAGTTGTATTGTGACCTGACAGACGAGTATCTTGGATGTTCTTTCCAAGTTCTGCACAAGTCCTTGGAGGTAGGTACCAGGTACCCAAGTAGATTAGGTATTGTACAGGTCGATTAGGCGCAAAAGGTACAGCCTAGGTCGATTAAAATTTAAAGGGTTGAATTAAGGGTCGATTACTGGTGCGCTCTCTCTCTAAGGCTGCTAGGGTTATCGGGCTATCTAGCGGACAATAAGCTATTCTAGGACATGTAGCTGTTAGAGGACCCAAACAAGAAGAAACAATAAGAAAGAGAAAGTAAGAAAAAAAAACCATTTAACCCATGTACATACACATGCATCTTAGGTATGTGTTAGGTACGTTGAGATAAAAAATGGGTCAGGGCCTCGGAAGGATAATAGGGCAATAGGGCCAAATATTAGACGCAGCCGTAAAAGCCCAAAATCTCCCCTAGCCTATGATGACAATGTCGAATAGGGACATGTGGTTTGTCAGAGAGGCTTACACAAGTTGGCCAAACGGCTTGTAGCCTCCTCACCGCCTTGCATCTAGCTCTGCGCTTGGTGAGGGTCGAGGTTGTGATTGCAGCCCGCCTGCATGCATGAAAATGTCTTGGACTTGTTCGTTTCGACCAGGGGGGTGCGGGCGGTGCTCTAGACGCTCTGGTCTAGCCTATGAATAATAATAATAATCAAGCTGTCCTTGATGGTGGGTTCGGAAAAGGTGTGGTGGGGTTATCCTTGCGGTTTGTGATTTGCGGTCCCTGGGTCCGTGTTCTTCCCCAGCTGTGTGGTTGTGGTCTATGCTTTAGCTGTGTGGCTGTCGGCGGCGGTAGTTGTGCTGAGTGGTAGGTGATAGATTAGGTAACTAGGTAGGTAATTGGTGAGGATAATAATAATAATAATAAAGAATAATAGTGGTAGTAAAAGAAGTTATAGTAATAATTCTAATAATATGTGGGATAGATCTTTATGGAGAAGAAGAGGAAGGGAGCTAGCTATATTATAGCTTCGTGGTTGTACAAGGCTATGCCAAAGCGAAAAAAAAAAAATAGAGTTCTTCCAGCTTACAATAAAACCTCAAATAGACTACCTCTCTCCCAAGAACCCAAGAGCTTGTGAGGAAGGGATCTCGTTCCAGATAGAAACTTCGCCTGTGGGAGACGATGATAATAGCCTTTTTGATAACTGCAACCCTATGGTGAGCCGACGGACTATGGACAGGAGTGGATAAGAGAGATGGGACGATCCCTAATTTATAGATTAGCAACGCGTCACTAGGTTATAGGAAGAGCTTGGAGCTTTCTATACCCATCCGTGACTCGTGCTCCCATGACGACTTTGTTTTTTTTTTTTTTTTTGCTCGCCAGTGTCACTAACAGTTTCCTTAAGCAGCCGCACTTATCTTCATCACCCATTAGGCTGGAAGCCATTCTGTACTTTGTATCTCTGCAGCCGAAAAGGTAAAGCCAATATGTGTTGCCGTGCCTTTGTGCGACATGCCTTGTATCTGCGTGTTACAAAATAATACCTATAGGGCAAGTATATGGGTGGTATCTGCCTCAAATGCTTGTTTCGATGCTCTCCCGTTACCCAAGAATACCAAGAGCTACCCAAGAAACACGGAGCACTTGGACGAGAAGAGAAAAAAAAAAAGAAGACACAAGAGTACTTCGTACACGTACATGGAATGTAATCCGCATGTACTTGGAACACTTGGAATAAGCCACCCCTCCCCCATTACCTACCTAAGGTACTCCAGGGGATTACCATTCGTAGGGTTGTAGCTACCTGAATAGACGAGAGCCGATCAACTAGATCATCTGATGCTCGACGGCCAGTAAAGCTTAACACGATGGATATGAGCCAACTGTACTGGCTTAATTCGGATAGAGTCCCAACTGTTGTACAGTTGTACGTAAAAGTACTTGCTAGATGCAGGTCCGGACGAAGAAGCTAGACGAGTATAGATTCGGTGTCTAGGCGTCTAGTTGCTCTTCATGGCGTACCTTCGTACCGTTGGGCTGGTAAGTTGAGGTCATGTCTCTCCAAGTCTTCCCATGTCTCTATGATCCTCCCGGTACTTCCTGTAAAGCACGGAGGGGATAAGAGAGGGTGGATTTCCTCCCTCTGAGAGAAATATAAGAAAGCCCTTGTAAGCGAGCCTTAATAAGAAAAGTAACCTAACTCTTCCTTCCGGAGGTACCATACTCCCTTCGGTCACTTGGTATTGTACCATTATTCTGAAGGGCCTGCTCAAGCGCCCAATATGGCAAAGAGGGGGAGGGAAATAAGGAAATAAGATATCGAAGGAGAGCGAAGGAAATGAAAGAAACCGGGACGGCAGATAGGCCGCGACTTTACCGACCGTCTTACTCCCAACTTCGGCATCGCTCCCCATCGTTCCCATCGCGCTGCTGCCCCAGATCATTAATCCGTCACCTTCTCCCACGGCTTTCGAGAGCCAGGTAGGAAATCAACTTCAACCGGCCGGGAACGTAACTTATCCTACCAGGAAGTACATACCTAGAAGAAAACGCTCTTTTTCTGCACCTCAGCTTCCCTGCAGCTCGCTTGTCGTCCCGAAGTCTGTCAAGGATGGTTCACAGAACGTCTTGGCGCTTCGAGCTTACTGGCTCGTCTCTTGACCGACTCGTTCGATAAGGCACGATAAGATCAAACCTGGCGACCGGTCTGGAAGTGGATACCCGTTTTATGCAGTCAGCTTTCTGAGAATCGACAAACATGCCTGCCGAACAGAATCCCATGTTCAATCATGCCTATCAGTTTTTCCTTTTGCGGAGTTCCGCTCCGTGTCCGTGTAGTGTAATAAAATAAGCGGGGTATCCCTCCGCCGAGGGTAGTTGGAAACGTCCATGGAAACGTTTTTGGAACATCCTTGGGTCCTGGGTCCTGGGTCCTGATTCCTGATTCCTGATTCCTGATTCCTGATTCCTGAATTCTGCAAGTCCGCCCTTCTCGTCTTCGCCATGCATTCTAACTTCGCAACGTGTCATACAGCAGCCTACAGCAGCCTACAGCAAGCCACCGGCAAATCGCAGTACGGCATTGGCAAATTTTTGAGATGACATGAATGACAGTAGTGCCCCCCACACACTTCGGCCTTTTAGGTGCCATGCTATCACAACGAATTGGCGGGTATATAGTGCCCATCGCCATTGAAACATTATTTCCCGCCGACCATGAGCTGTTGGGTACAGATGCAGTCTAAGTCGGTACGCTGACTGTCACTTTTCGGATTACGGCTCCAAAGCCCGCGTGATAGTTGAAATTGATAGCTCACCGAGGGAACTCTAGCCATGCTCATCCGTAACCACAACCGAGAGGATAAAAGGGCCGCTGGAGATTTCCGCCGCGTGGGTTGGACAGGCATTAAGCAGGCGCGGTCCGCTTCATGGGGTCACCTCGGCTGGGCTTCTCGATATGCCTACCACAGTGCCGTATGTTCTGCAGCTGGAACACAGATTTGTTCTTCTTGGCGCTTTTTGTCCAACATCCCTGCACGTTCACCTAAACAGCGAAAGGCAGAAGCCATGTCTCACAAGGCTGAGACTGTCTGGGGCAACTTGGCACGCGTCTATTGCATCGTCTACTGGTACTTTTGAACCGTCAAAACCCTCTGCGGGGAACACCGTACCGGTCATCATTGCAACGAAGGCGTTAGGGGCCTTTAGGGGGCCATTAAGCATGAAGCCAGCAATTATGAAAATTGGGGCCAAGCTTATAAGATTTGGGCAGCTCTACTTTCCACGTCACCCATAAGCGCAGAAGGAGTTATCGCCAACTCTGAAGACTTGGTGTGCCAGAACGAAGTCTAAAGACACTTGTCTCCAGGGTG